GTCATTGCTATCATAAATTGCAGGGAATCTTGTTCCAAACACGTCATGCATAACCGGACCGTTGCATGAAGCGTTGCATTCGTATATGGGTGTCGTTGATAGCGTGCGCTGATGATGGCGCTTCGTTATATGCGTAGCAAGCATATAAACGGCTACACAGGTGCTAACGGTACTTTGCCACCTTTTTGGAGGCTTCTGTCGAGCGTTACAAGCTTTGTGTAAGCCTGAGCTTTCTACCACAACTTACGTGTGACTGCTTCTGCGCAACACACCCTGCACCATGCATCATACGGCATGTCACCAATGCCTGCCCCCTGTCGCGACCACACTGTGAATCCAGCCGTGTTCCGTTACAGAACGGCATTCGAATTTGTTCGCGTCGTGATCATGGGACTGCGACCCGTCCGCTCGCTGTCACAAAGTGCCTCGAACGTCGATGCAACAAACCGTGGGTCATCTGTAGTGGCGAGCTTCTGGCGCTCACTTGAGCTCCTCGAGTGAGCTTCCTGAGCTTATTGATCCCTACCGCAGCTATGATCGTGAATGTATGTACCGCACATGTGGAGGGAAATATATGGACTGGTATGACAAAAGATGTACTCTTTGCCCGACGTAGGGAGATCGTTTGCTGGAGAGCTGCGCGTACGCACATTATCTTGCAGAGCTTCCCCGGTGCACCCACAACCGGTGGGAAGAGCCGACACGGCGACGCCGCGTTGGGACGCGTGGCGGCGGGATGCCGTCCCCATGTGCGTCCGGTCCGTTATGGGGCGCGTTCCAGCCTCCCAGTAGCGCGGATCCGTAACTGTGATGAGAAATGCCACCCGGACCACGGTGGGATCGCGGCGTTCTCCACTGAGGAGGGGACTAATTAGTGCGGGGTTTTCTGTGTCGCAGATGACGTTGGCGAGGCCAGCATTCCTCGGATGTCGCGGGCTGTGGGGAGAGTGTGAACCGCTATAAAGAAGGGCATTGTGCCCGGAGTGCGCTAGCGCGGGTGGCATGCCCCCAATTTAGATCGCTCGCTTCGCAATTTGGGGCGGTAGAGTCCTTATCGGGCTCGTGAATACGCCATGTCACGTGAAAAGTGGGCTGTTTCGTTCAAAACGTTGCATCTCGAACCGCTCTGCCGTGTTTTTTTTTTCAAGTCGCAAAACCCATAAACAAATGACATCACTCGCCAAGCGTCTTTGTGGTGATGCCTGGCACATTTGCTCAGAAAAGGTACGGGCAGACCCTGGTTTAGCGTAGCATGACATGTTTGTGGTGCATCCGGAGCATAATTTAGGATATGCGGAAATCCTGAGCAGCCTTTTGAAGTGGGTCATCCGCCGAGCACTGAGGGGCTTACACGGACGATAACTCCGCGAACAATGTCGGCTCCCGCGACCTTGACACCTGTGGCTTTTTTACGGCCCGTCTTTTGCTGCCGGTTTGACGTGCTGGCGCCAAATCGGATATGAAGCTCCCTGTACGTCGACATATTCACCGTACTACACATGGGTTTTTTACGCCAACGATATTGTCAGCCCATTACAAGGAGTCGAACCAGAATAAAACCTGTTTTACATGCATGTCTACGGAGCGTTCCATGTGTACAAGTACGCCGACCGACAGAAAGCTGATTTCAGTAACGGGATAGCGTGAGGCCATGAAGTCGTGCCGCGCAAAAACGCTCGAATTCAACCCGGTCTAGTGCCTTTGAGTTTGTTTTGCCTTTTTTAATTTGAGTCGTAGCCCTATCTATCTCGTGTGGCAGGGCGTGTGCTCTTCGAAAATCATGACAAGCTCATAACTACTTGATGGCTGTTATACAACAAGAATCGGTATCCGCAAATGGTTGGATAAAGTACGTACATAACAGAGTCGGACCTTTTTTCCACACGGACGTAACATCCAGGCGTGTGTTCCTACATGCAGGGACGTCCACGGTCCCACCGCAAATGACACACCACACCATCCCTTCAAATCATGTTGGCGTCGCGTGCAAAACGAGGGCCGGCCATGAGAGATCCCGTATAAACGGATCGGAACCACTTGGTTATTGGAACCGACCTCACAGGTCTTGTCCACAATGAAACTAATAGCACTTAGTTTATCAGCTTTCTCCCTCTATCACACTCTGTCTCGTGTTCAGAAAGCGGCCGAATTATTCCTGTAACAGCGTGCACCCTGGGCAGTCCTACTAGACTGCCGCTGCAGTCAGGTAATTGACTATGCAATATCCGTTTGTATGAAACGTACCCTGTTGCCGACTGCAGAAGCGGCTGTCCAACTTTAGCCAAGATGCATAAGCGAAATAGTCAAAAGTAAAGGTCAGTACTCACAATGAAACGATGCATTCATCATTTCCCATGGATAAATTTCGGCTTCTGCTGATGCCCCAGCCTGTGTGTGCCAATGGTTTTCTCTGAAGCACTCGATGTTTATGATGCGATTTGAATGTTGTTTCACTTCTGCCCGTCTGCAGCCTATATGCAACCCCATCGTCAGGGTTGGGCTGGCATGGTTCCGAAGTTGGTGTCTATCTGCATGCCAAATGTGGTGTACCGACGTGCCAGTTTCATTTCTCTCTCTCTCTCTCTCTCTCCTCTCTCTCTCTCTCTCTCTCTCTCTCTCTCTCTCTCTCTCTCTCTCTCTCTCTCTCTCTCTCTCTCTCTCTCTCTCCTCTCTCTCTCTCTCCTCTCTCTCTCTCTCTCTCTCCTCTCTCTCTCTCTCTCTCTCTCTCTCTCTCTCGTCTCTCGGCTCTGGCTCCGGCTCCGGCTCCGGCTCGGCTCCGGCTCCGGCTCCGGCTCGCTCCGGCTCCGGCTCCGGCTCCGGCGCTCCGGCCTTCCGGCTCCGGCTCCGGCTCCGGCTCCGGCTCCGGCTCCGGCTCCGGCTCCGGCTCCGGCTCCGGCTCCGGCTCCGGCTCCGGCTCCGGCTCCGGCTCCGGCTCCGGCTCCGGCTCCGGCTCCGGCTGTGGTGACGGGAACAGGTGGAGGAGTTGGGATGGGCCCTAACTTTGAACGCGGCGCCGCTTGGGGCATTTTGTCGCCTTCAACCGCATGTGGGGATTGAAGTGAGCTTTTTAGATAAGAGTTGTATGGTAATGATATCAAGATCTTCATTTCGAGGGAGCCCAACGTGAAAATCAAACCCTAAAACGTCGGTCAGTGTACCTCTCAAAGCGACGGGGGGGGGGGGGGGGCTGGGACTGTGAGAGCCTACTTGTTCGTCAGCTGACTGAGATCACCAATAAAGAACAGCTGTCTCCGTGTCGGTCTGGACTGCGGACAGGGGACGAGTCGGGGCCTGCCAATGTCAATCAGAATGCAGGCCTCTGGCATTGCTCAGAGCCCTTAAAACAGCAAAGGGACCCCGTGCCGGTCAGAACCCCCAATGCCTATCATGGGACCTTGTGGCGGCAATGGGCCCAAGTTAGCAAGGGGTGCATAAGCTGAACAAGGACAGGTACGGAACTCCGAATGTCAAAAGGCTTCTTGAGTTGGCGGGACCCTTTTGACAATGAAAGGATATATGAGAAGCGATGATGCGAGAGTTCACATTCACAGTTGGATAGGGAACAAGCTCTTTGCTAGTCAGAGGCCACAGCACCGAACGAGCGACATCTGAACAGTTTTAACCAGCGGCCGATGGGCCGAACTGATGTCTCGGCGCCAATTGTTCGACCCTCTGCGCCAGTAAATGATCATTTTGCGCCAGTGAGGGCCGCTGAGCGGATCCGGCGCCAGATATCCGTATCAGAGAGCCTGAAGCATCTCACGCGCTGCTGACGTCACATTCCTCACTCCAAATTGTACCCACTTCTTACTTATTCATGATATTCTAAACTTGTTCAAGATTTCCTTATTTCCGTGGTTACGGCACAGGAAATGGTACATATTTCAGTCAGCTGGCCGGACATTTTTCTACCAGAAAGTATATCGGGTCAAAGTTCTGCGAATTTCACTGGCTTCGCCACCTTCTGTTGCAACCACAAACATTTCAACATTCGTGCCATGCGATGCCATTTGAGACACTGCGATTTACAATGCATGGACAAGCTATAGGTTTCGCCTTTAATCGTTCTCTTCACGGGCAGGGACCCACAAAATGCAACTTTCTGTCGGTTTCGAAAGTAACGTTGCTTGTCGGAGCCGACTTCAGCTCGTTTTGTTACATCGCCTCAGAAAATTTTAGCTCAAAATGGTAAGATCCAATTGCCACTGGAACAAACGCGTGCAATGTATACGTATACTTACAACGTCTAGTCTTCTACGATGCGCAGAGAACGGCAGTCTCCCAATACACAATGAGAATCTGAAATCTAAGGTGGCCGAAATCCGGTGACCTTTTCGTGAGGATAGGAAGGGGGACACCAAAAACCTGAGCCGCAGTGCAGTGTGGCCCCTCCTTCGACGAAATTCTGGATGCATCCCTTGGATGCCTTTGGTACACGTGTACTCGTGCAGTTGCTTACATATGTACACACAGCCCTTGAGTTGATTTTTATTATTATTTCAGTAACCTATGCATGTCATCTTAATCTGTGCCGCTACGATTCGTATCGTTGGTGACAGCTTATGAATGAAGTCAAATGAACACACAGGGAACAATGCCTACATTTTGTTCTATGCCAAAATGATTGTATTTGCTCCATGGTTACCGAATATGGTGTCACCTTGGCTAAATCGGCCTACCGGGATCATTCGCAAATCCGAAAAAAACTCCGACACAAATGATGCAGCTCAGAACACAATGCCAGATAGATGAACATCAGAACAAATTCACGCGAATGACGACCATAGCTAGTGACACTTTTACTGATAGCATCATCCACCAGGGTCGCTCTCTTGACTTCAAGTCACAAAGCGTCAGGACGGCACCGGCCATATCGAGATGCATTGTATGGCTGGCAGCACATGAATTATCTTACGACCTGATCTCCAGAGATCCACAACACACAATCGTGTGACGTCAGGTCACGAAAGCGCGTATAACTGTAATGCTAATTAACATGTACACACGATCGTCTGATATCCCGTGATCTCCCCGATGCAGCCCCACCCTAACCTTCATACAAGAAATACAATCCCAGCGATACGGAGTTCTGTGACGGCAATCGATGGCGGTCGTAATGGATGCCGTGAAATCCGCATCCTCCTCGCTACGCCGCAAATGTCACTGCGTCTCGGAGACGGCGCAGCGTGCGCACGTGTGCCGCGGGGCGGGAGATGGGTGGGCGGGTGTCGCGCGGCGCGGGGGGTCGGCTAATGACCGTGCCGCTGCCGCTCGGACGCCGCCGCACACGGCGTCGATGACGGATGGCGGCGCGCGGCGTCTCGATACGCATCGGCCGGCTGGTGAGCGGCCGCCGGCGCTCGGCTGACCCGCTTCACCGGCCACTGGTGACGCGGGTAGCGGCCGGACGGTGGCAGTCTCCGCCCGACGACAGTCCCCGCAGCCGGTCCTGCTCCAGCAGCCGCCGCTGCCGCTCCCGGTGCAGCCACCCCCCGGCGCGGTCAGCTCCGGTGAAGTCAGTCCCTGGCGCGATCAGCTCCGGTGCAGTCAGTCCCGGCGCGGTCGGCTCCGGTGCGATCAGCCCCCGGTGCAGTCAGCTCCCGGTGCAGTCAGCTCCGGTGCAGTCAGCTCCCGGTGCAGTCAGCCCCGGTGCAGTCAGCTCCGGTGCAGTCAGCTCCCAGGACAGCAGCAGGTGCCTCCAGCTGACCGTGATGTGGAGTCGCGCGCGACCGCAACGCTGGCTGCCGGCGACCGTCGTGCTGTGCGCCGCTCTCGGCGTCGCCAGCGCGCTGGAGAGGAACTTTTGGTGAGGAGATCGCTTGAGGCGTTCGATGCTGTTTGCACGGTCTGGTGATCAGTTTGGAATCCAGATGCGGGTGCGGCTCCCTCGAAGACGTCTACCGCATAGATCAGGTGTCGCAAAGATCATCCTTCATGAAAGTGCTTGGATGCTTTTACCAGGCCGTGAGATGAAGTTTACAATTACAGAGCTTTGGTATAGACAAGGCAAGTTCCTGATCGCAGGGATATCTGCAAATTAGTGTTATGTCCAGAGGCGCACACGAGACTTCACAAATCATCTCTCTTTTTTGACAACTTGGTATGAAGAGCTACTTTGCACGTTAAATGCAGCTAGCAATCAGCCCTGTCTGACCTACGGGTCACGATAGACATAGCCCGAGGCTTTTCGTGGGGCTTCTCCCGCTTTCTTCTCAAAGTTTGGGGCTGAGGATCCTTTCCCTCAACTTCCAACTGAAAAGAGAACGGTGTATAGAGAAGTAGCATGTCCACCCCTACTCGCGGGTGGGCATGCTACTGACGGCACGAATGAGTCAACTTACGCAGTATGTGTACCTATTTAGTTTTTAGGATGCTCGGCGAACAGTTTGCCTGGTCGTAGTTAAATCTGGGCCAGTGCAGTCAGAAACACTTTATACTCTATATGTTCGCTGCGTTCACGTAGCATCTAAGGTTCTCGAAAAACGACCTCGCAATCAAAGCAATGGACCACGAAAATATAAAACTGAATTATCGGCAGCTTACTTATCGTAACAGTCGTCATGTCCCGTAACCGTGGAAACGTGCAATTATGATATATTGAACGGCATCAATGCCAGCGACTTTTGCAAGGTTCCCTAAATTTCAAGGTCACCTTGCGTCAAATTTGAGCTGCTTGTCAATATCGTTAAGGGCAGCAATGCAATGATCAAAAAGGAGTGATATTTGCGGGAGGTGACGTAAGGCCTGCTGAACGTCAAGGTTTTAAGCCCAGTCAATTATTTTTTCATCCTGTGAAGCAATGTCAATGCAAGCTTTGCTGTACGTCCATGTCATGGTTTGCAGTCATGTATATGCATAGTTCTGACCTTTGATAGCCTCGCATTACTAACAGTGAACAAATGTTAGCCTATCCAGACAACCGGCTTAATTTTACGAACCTTAAGTAGTCTCAAAGAGGCGTCACTGAACCTAAGGTGCATCATTGGACGACTCTACAGGTCAATAAGAAAGGTTCCGACAGCGTAGTGGTGAAGGTGCGCGTCTGAGAAGCCAGTGGTACGGGCTACGATTCCCCGCGGTATCCACCGTTCCTGCCACGGTGAGAGGCAGGCGACGCCACATACAGCTTCAGTAGCTGACTGCGTCGTAAAGCCCCGATGACAACAACATACAGATCAACCATAGAGCGTAGCATGATGTTCCTCTTCACAAAAGTTGTGCAAGACCTGTGGCATGCTATTCAGTAGGCCCAAGATGGATAAACTGAGAGAGATAGGTTAAATTTGGTCGATGAAACAAGTCAAACATTGCAAACATACCATTCGGTTATTCAATATTTTTGTAACGCATGACGTGGTGAATCGATTGCTAATGAACCTTCCTTAACGTTTTGAAAACAACAGCAAGCAGTGATCTATTTTGCGCTAGTTTGCAGTGGTGATACTCAGTGATGCGCTTTATTCTTGTGAGAAACCTGATCCCAAACAATGGAAAGAAACGATCAAAGCATGCAAAGCATATTGTCAGCATTCAGCATTTCCTGATGGCCTCACGAAGACCAGATAGTTAAGGGTATTGCAATTTCCGCACCTTCCTCTGAAGTAATTCTCATATTTTTAAATATCTAATGCTGTTTTGCGTATTGGAGGTCCGTTATTGTCACTCGTTGCTGAATGGACCGCTTATTGCTGTATGGTGCGGAAAATAGCAAGTCTAAGACCTGTCATAATAACGTCGCATAGACGCACCTGCGGGTACAAATGAGCTGACGGCTCATATGAGCTCCAGTTCTTGTCGTAAGGGAGTATATGCGTTCTACATTATCGGGACCCTCGCTTAGATCAATTCCTCAGTCGGATGCCCATGCCAGAATAATGGCAGCTCGTTCCCGAGATTTCTCCTTATGGCAGGTGTGAGCGTCTATCTTTTGTCCATATGGGTCAGTTAGCACAAGAATGATAACGAGCCATTTCAGGCACGACTTGCCGTAGCCTACCTGTACCCACATCTTTGATCTTAAATGATCGCCGAAGCGTCCGGTCGGTAAGCCTGGGCGTCCAACGCGCTCCACCCACACAACGTGACTTCAACCGCATCCCGGAAGCTCCCCATTCGATACAATTCCAAATGCAGATGCGTCCATGCCTAACGCGTTTAAACATGACACCTGATAACAGCTTGAAATTTGATTTATTTATGAGCCTTGACCCGGTCGGACCCTTAGTCAGCACTTTGGTGGAATGTCACTCTGTATCTATGTGGGACAAGATCTACATAGGCATAAGACGGTCGGGTCAGCATGGTGCTCATCCCCGGTGCTGGGATGTGCTGCCAGGACGTATTTGTCCTACGTCGTCCGATTTCGGAAAAGTTTCGAACAATGCCTCATCATAATTCAGGTTTGAAACATGACTGGCGAAAACAATGTTATTTGGATGACGTCTGGCTTCGAACGCCGACAGCGTTTGTTGTTCAAGCATGGGACTACTGAACACGGGAGACATCCGTCAAACCGCTGATTAAATCCGTCGCGCCCAAGATGCCGATCGGCGGTTCATTCATCGACGACAGCGGCGCGTGGCGACTGGGCCCAGCCTGCAACATGCAGCGTGTTCGGCCCGCAGTGTTCTGCCTGCCTCAGAGTCCAGTCTGTCCCGTCCAGTGTTCAGCCTGCCGTGTCCTATCTGCATCAGAGTCTAGCCTGTCTCGTCCAGTGTCCAGCCCGCCGTGTCCTGCCTGCCTCAGAGTCTAGTCTGTTCCGTCCAGTGTTCAGCCCGCAGTGTCCTGCCTGCCTCAGGGTCTAGTCTGTCCCGTCCACGTAAACCGTCCACCGTCCCTGCTACGCTGTGGTCTTCCTGCCGTGGTTTCTTTCAGGTGATCTCACGGCTGTAATCTCTGCCTTGATCCCCCTCCCCCTGCTATGTCATGATCGCGTTGTGACACCGTAAATTGTGATCTCTCTGTTGCGTCCTCCCTGCTGAAGCCCCTGTCACGGCTTGACCTCCCTGTCGCACCGTAACTTCCTTGCCATGTCGTGACCTCCCACCGTAACCTTCCTGCCGTGACCTGCCCGCCAGACAGTGACCTCTGCGCCGTCGTCACAGGGACCCGGAGCCGGGCTACATGCCAGTGCGGGCCGCCACCAACACCAGCCGCGCAGCACGCGCTCGTCGCCAGGCTGACCTGGCGCTGGCCATCCCGGACGGGGCAGTCATCGGCATTCTGCCAAAGTTCGGCTGGCTCCTGTACGAGGGTTCCAGCCACGAGGGTGAGTGGAGGAGGGCGGGGGGGGGGGGGGAGGGAGGTGGAGAGGGAGAGATCGGGGGATTGTTGAAGACTGTATCTCAGGCCTCTTGTGGCGGAGCAGGGTCGCCAGCCTAGTTGGGTTCGAAATATGCAAAATGCGCCATGTACCTAACGCCCACTAAAGAGGTTCTGTCTCCATGGAACCGTTAGGGGGGGGGGGGGGGTGGAGTGAGCGGGAGCCACGCCCGTGGGAGCAGCTTGTGCTCGCCGGTGATAGGTTCAACGTTGGCTGGGCAAGGGACTCGCGGATTTGGAGGTTTCATTCCGGACGGCGTCCATTTCGGTCGACTTCCGATAGCTGGTTGTTGGAGACGAGCGATACAAAATTGCACGGCCGGCAGGTCGGCAGGTATGAACCAGAGATGGCAAGTTATCTCGCACCCCGAGTGCGTACTTAAGTCGTCCAGCTGTCTCACAGGCGACATGATGCAAAACAGCCGCCATGTATCACATTCTCGGAAAATAAATTCCTTCTCACTGTGGGAAGTCCAGTTATCAAACAGTTACGATTCTTTGTTAACTATGCTATCAAAAAATAATCAATTTTAGTGACCAATATCTGAGAGGTCAATGGTGTCTCATTTCTGGAGGCCTTGACCCGATATGTGAGGATTGGTTTTCACCGTACGATAGCCACGCTCGCTCCGACGTGGAATGCTCGTCCTCCCGGCGCGTTCCCACAGAGCCAATGGAATTTCCTTCGTTAGTTTTACTCAAATGGAGGTGACCTGGCACGACGGCTTGTCTTCGATATTATCTGAGGCCGGGCGTGGCTGCCCAGCGTGCCCTGGTCGGGTGGAGGGGGCGTGGGGACAGGATGGCCGACCGGTGAGCCGGGTCAGCTGCTGGCATCAGTGTGCTTAGACTTAGCCTTCCTTTTCGGAAATAACCCATTTCAACGACAGTTTCAGGCTCCCGCTTTTGAACCCATCGTTATTCCGGTGTTCCACCCATGGATAGATTGAATTTCCGCTGATTTCGGTCTCCCACCGGCCTTCGGCAAAGGCGACGCAGCCTCCATAGCATCTTTTGCTGAGGCAATTTTGACGCACTGCCACCAAAAGCGGCCGGGACGGTCAGCGCCGGTCTGCTAAGCGTCGGTTTATGGCGGCGAGAGGTCGCTTTCGAGCCGGGATCGGAGCGGCCCAGGCCGTCATGATTTACAAGCGCCAGCCAGGAAATGAAACCTGCTCGACGCCTGTTTTGGAGCATCTCAGATAGTGTGCTCCAATTTACAAGTACCGGCTCTGGGTTCCGCCGGCTTTCCCCGCTATTAGACACAGTCAACTGTGTGTCACACTTGGGGCATCCGACTCGGTGGAGCAATGCGATACGGCGTGAGCGTAAATACAAGGAAGATGATGACACAGAAAATTCGGAAGTTTAGACTTTCATTGTTGCAATCATGCTGCGTGCAATAGCGAGTGCTGTTTACTTTCAAAACGCATGTTAGAGATTTTGCTTGCGCGGGCTGTGATAGTCATGGTTATATTTTTAATATGGGCTGTTTTTCGTAGCCTTATCATTCGCCGAGTTCGTCAGCTCTGCAACTAGGCTGCAAGTAGGCATGTGACGGAACCGGTTTCAGCTTCGACCTTGGTTTCGGCTTTGGCTTTGAGAAGCCGCAGTTTTCTTTCAAGGACTGTGGTTTCGACCTCGGTTTTATGCCATTTTTGACGGTTGGCCTTTGTTTCGGCTTTTGTTTTGTGCTATTTATTATTATTAACAGCTGTCCTTGGCCTTAGCTTCGAACATTTTCCTTATGACTCAGGTTTTGGCCGCGGCCGATATTGAACTACTCGCCTTAATTTTGAACTATAGTTGCAACTTTACTGTAAAGGTACAGTCATGCTGTCCTGTCACTCCCTGCTCACCAAAACCATTTTTCGAGGTTGCTAGCGTCCTTAGCTGAAAGCTAAAAGACGGCCGATCATTCTCAGTGCCACTCCTGACGACGGCCGGAGGCCGGGCATCTGAAACAATGTGTATGTGCTAGCATACAAGACGAGAAAAAAGTACCAAAAAGAGCAACCCATCCGCACTGATTACATCTCGTCTCAGCAAAGCCACAAAGCCCTGTTAATACTTTCCTACCTCACTCACGTTTCGCAGACGCGAAAATTATTTTGGTCTCGCACAAATACGTTGCACATCGGATTTCGCTTCGACTTCAATCTCGCGATTTTAAACTGATGGGTTTGGCCTTAGCTTCTTGTTTTCGAAGTTCGAGCCCATTGGCTTGGGATTCGGTTTCACATTTTGAAGATCAAAAGACATTAGCCCAATCCCTAGCTCCAAAGCCACTAGTTTCGGCTTCGACTTCGGTTTCATGTAATTGCATGTAATCGGTTTGTAAATGCATGAAACTGCTTTGGCTCTGGATTCTGCTTTGAAGCCGGCCACTTAGCTTCGTCCCCAGGCCCGGTGGTGACGAAACGACAGGCGACCCAATTTCACGCAACGCATGCACCTGTCAGCGATATTATTCACAGCAAAGGAGATTATGTGGTCTACAAATGCTCCCCATCAGCAAACATGTACCAATCCCCAAACCATATGCAGCCTTTGGTTGCGTGGGCACATGTTATCAAACGTATCATGTTCAAGCAGTCTATCGTGCATATGTCATAATACGCCGCGCGATATATCGCGCACTTCAGCACAGCGCTGCATAGCGGCGATAGCGTATCGCAGTCATCCGTTGTTCAACTTGTCGGTGAATTTTCATCGAGCTTTTTTTAGGTCTTGCTTCCGTTTCTCTCCTTATCAAATGCATGTCACCGGCATGCGCATTTAGAGCAGACATAGATATGGTCTGATGTAAATGCGACAGATATGGTATGTTTGATGGTGATATGCGTGTTAAGCGCGCGCCTACGACCTACAACATGGCATTCCAGAGCTGGACTTTCGACTGGAGACCGAGTTTCTGTACCGGTTCCCTCGGTCGCGCCCCTCCCAGGTGGGTCTGGAGCGCACCGACGAGGCGCACGCCACTGGTAACTATTGGGAGGCGCCGCACATCCTGGAGAGGAAGCGGCGTGAGGTGCGCGACAGCCGGATCGTGCGCGACAAGAAAATGATCTACAAGGGCCTGACGAGCATGTTCAGGAGGTGAGAGCACTTCTAATGTCCGCCTCACGTGGGCCCCTCCCTCTTTCCATCCCTCCCCCTCCCTGTCTCTCCCTCTTCCCATTCCGACGGTCGCTTAGGCGTTTATCTCTGTGTTTCCTGTTCAGATGCTATCATCTAAAGCAGTGTTGTGTCTGTTACCAGCTGGAAAGTTGTTTAAGTGTTAAACCGGTTTAATTATAACAGAAAAACTGTGTAACCGTTTGTGTCTTTGTTCATCGTAGAAATGCTCTTGCCTGTCCAGGCTTTTTTTGGTGGCGTTATACAGCGTTGCGCTTTTCGTTTAAAGAACTCAAACAAATCGATCTGTCGCCGTACACTCCTAGTTCGTGCGCCAAGCATCGCTCCACAAGCCGTCTCTCGCCGCAGGTTTGGCATGGAGGGCAAAACCTGTCTGATGAAGACTATATGCGAAATATCGTCATCACCGCTTCTTTTTGACGGACTGGTGGGGGAGCTTCTCAACATCGCACTTATGTGAGCAAATGCTTGTGTTATTCTGAAAAATTTCATCTATCGACGCTCATTTAAAACCATGTAAAACCTGAGTTGTTGCGCACGTATGTGCTTGCAATTCCGAACCCCGTATTGTGGTGCGTCCATTTACGTTCTTGTGAGGTGTGCCGTGCGAATATGGCCAGGCCGTGGGAACACCCCAGAAAATATGATTCCCAGATGGTCAGAACGTCCCAAAAGGTGAACTTTCATTCGAATTTTCGACTTAGCACTTAGGGTTAATACCAAACTCTCACAAAAAGTACAGAATGAGCCCTCTTCAATCCCGGTCACTACGTTTATGATTAGAGCCATTCATTCTTGTGCAAATGTGCTCTCGGTGACCTATCACCGCAGATCACCAGAGATCACACTGACGCAGCCTTCAACCTCTGCACTAAGCGAGACGCTGGGTATCCCAACACCCGATGGCATCCCCGGCGCTGATGTTTGACGCGCGCTGTGTGGCCGCGCAGACCGAGCCACAAGCTGGGCGACGGACCGGGCCTGGACGAGTACCGTGACGCCGAGAAGCACGGCCTGGCCGGCGGAGACTGCGAGGCCGCCTTCCCCGCCTGCCCCATCTCCATGTTCCGCAGCAGGAAGCTGGTGTAGGCGGCCGCAGCGCGAGCCCAGTGCCAACGCGGCGCAGCCGGCCCCGCCGCCTCGCCGCGGCTTGTGGCGTTCCTGGCGCAGCTCGGTGTGCACTGCCCACGTTGTGCGCCCGCTGGCCCGTGTGAGCCGCCGAACGGTCGCTCTGCTGAGCGTTGGCGTGCGTGTTTATCAGCATTATTCATCGTTGTTATCTATGTTTAAGCTACTGCATAATGGCATATTTGTTATGAGGTGTAGTGTTCGAGGCATGCTGCGGTGGAACGAGCCCAACTGTTTTGGAGTTGTCCATTCCCATTCCATGATGTCATCCCATTTCCCCCGTAAACCCATGTTCCGTTCTGTCCCATGTCATGTCATATCGCATGATAGCACTGCCCCCACAATGAACCGAAAGCGTCTCAGCAACCCTGGAAATAGCAAGGCCTTGTTATTGCATAAGTTACTTTGCAAGCCTCTGATTGTCGCGATAACACTGGGAGCAGTCCTGAAGGTCATGCCGTTGTTATCTCGTTCGTTTCGTGTATTGTTGTTAACATGACTTTCTTCGGGATATGAGCTTCTTGACGCTTTTAGCTGGAATCTGAAACAGTTAGATCCCAGCATTGCGACCTACTTGCCGTTGACAGTGATGTGATATTGCAATTACGTATGGTACACTCTTGGATGCTCCGTCGCGCGTGCTTCGGTGCAGCCTTCGCTCTTGCCGGGCACCTCCCCCCCCCCCCCCGGCCCCACCCTCAGTCCGCCCTCTCGCATAGTTTAGATTAGTCGCTCGAGCATTTAATCATTTTGAAGTTATCGCAAGTATGTGTGTTACTACCCTACTAGCTTCGAATAAATCTCGGAGACACTGAGTTCAGCAAAGTATAAGAATGTCGTTATCACACGCACCCAGAGTTAATACAAGAAGGATATGCCACTTGCAACACTGGTTACATGTTAGTGAGGCTCCGAAGACGCAAGACTCAAATAGTTAGCATTTCAAAACATAGACCAGCGATTAGTGTTGATGGAATACACGCATGAAAGCTAGAATAGCGCGCAAATGGCCGTGCCTTAACAAAAAGGGCCTCGAATATGTGGCGACATTTTTTCTGATATGATCACTAACGGCTTATTACCCGAATTTTTCGGAGGATGCAGGTTACCTTCAGGTGGAGCGGTACGTAGGGGAGGGCTTGGGAACTAGATAAAAATAGAACAAGAGAGAGGGAGAAAGAAAGAGAGCGAGAGAGAGAGAGAGAGAGAGAGAGAGGAGAAGAGAGAGAGAGAGAGAGAGAGAGAGAGAGAGAGAGAGGAGAGAGAGAGGAGAGAGAGAGAGAGAGAGAGAGAGAGGAGATGAGAGATGAGAGAGGAGAGAGAGAGAGAGAGAAGAGAGAGAGAGGAGAGAGAGAGGAGAGAGAGAGAGAGAGAGAGAGAGACAGAGAGACAGAGAGGCGGAGAGAGGGAGACTTTTGATTAGATTTGAATTGTGCTGTGCATAGGGGGGACTTTTGGACAGTCGAATCTCTTTACAAGCGCGTGTGGATACAAGCGGGAGATGTCACTAAAAGAAGGACGCCCAAAACGCGTTTGGTATCCACAGTGTACCAATTTCTTGCCACTCGGCGTCGTAAGCTAATGATACATTTTCAACGCACCACGCCTTCAGGCGGGCTTTGTCGTCAGAGTGGCGGACGAGTTCAAACAAATGGAAACGATTCAATTTCAAAACTGAAATTCAAATTCAAACATTGAAACTGATTCGTAATTTGTAAGCCGTCCATGGGACCATGTCACATCCTTTCCTTACGCGTCGTCATCGAGATGTCTGCTGATTGCGCAGACGCATTCAATCAGCAAAGCTCATCGCGCCATCTCGCATCGATCACTCTGACACACTGGTAGATGGGTTTCGGACGGTCTTCGGCATGGGTCAGCAGATTTCTGGCGAGACGTGCCCGACGCAGGGGCCCCAGAGCCGGAGCAGGGCTGCCATGGGCCCGCGGCCTTCACGCCCATCACCCTAGCCGGGCCGATCCGGTCTTTCATCGGTAGACAGCGGGGTGGCACGCGGTCAATGGGCGGTGCCAAAAACGAATCTGGCTCGGTGTGATTATGCGACCCCAGTGAACAACTTGCTCGGGTCCTGACAGAGTTGTCAGCTTGAGCTGGGGCACGGCTGGTGACCGCCAACGCTCCCAGTATTCTGGGAGATGGCTTTTGACTTTGCGGCAGCCATGGAGAGGAAAATAGAGCGGTGGGTACATACTGCGCATTCGGAATGAAAGCTGGCATTCCGAGAACTGATTTTAAGACGTTTTGAGTTGATGTGCCATGTTGGGATGTCTGTGTCTTCGGGGCACGGGCGCAGCTACCACTGGTGTCGGTGCGGTCCGGACATTTTTCAGCGGACTGGAAAATGCTTGGTGTTTTGACAAGATAAAATGATACCAAAACCGACAACGTTCATAATGTTGGACTCTGTAGGCTGCTACAATGCTTCCTTCCCCTCAAAGCAGAGTTCACATCAACGAAAAAGCGCAAAGGATCACTGGAGGGGGCTACTGCAAATGTATACCAGAGCAAAGTCAGGACAACATCCGGACGACGGCTTCCATGAATATTATGCGGCTTTGTCTATGTTTGCTGACTTACTGGAGACTTTGCTTCCGAGGTCTTGCACTAAAAGACTTCATGTGCTAGATGAACCCATAAGTACCCATAAGGAATGTATGACGGCATGTTCAGGGTATGAATATTTTAGAAACTGACCATTATTGGACTTGGACGGGTATATACGGAAAATTATGTGTAATATAGGTAGTGTGTACAAAAGTCTGGCAAATACATAGACACGTCCTTCGAAACGCTATTACTTGCGCGTATTCTTTTAATAGTATAGTTCCATTCACGCTGCTTTTGCAGTCACCAACGCAAAAGGGGGAGTTTGTGTGGAAATTTACCGGAACTTGTTTCGTAATTGTAACTAGAATGCTGCAAAAATGCAAACGGGTACGAAACGTGTGGGTACAACTGATGACTAATGGGTAATGGGTGGGTTTGGGCACAGCCCATGGGTACAGGATAGATTGGGTGACGTCTGTTTTCCGCGACGCGAAGGCCTCCTCTATGCGTGTTTGTTAAGAAGGCACCAGATTTTTCCGAGTTCATCAAAAATTTCTAAGACTGCCAGAGCTCCACAGTAGCACAGTTCCGTAATGTCCATAGTCGTAGGGACGCTTCAAAGGTGGGAGGGGCAGCCTCGTGTCAAACTTAGGAACATTTCCTGGAAGGCAAGCCCTGTCGCGGCCGGGGAAGGGAGGGGATGAAGGACTTAATGCGCTCTCAATTTATCATTACAAATTTTGGTGTTATGTTAATGTCCTGTTGTTTTGCCATACACACACCTACAGCTGTATTTAGCTGGAACACCTTTTACGTACTTGACTTATCCACACGAATCGGCAAGCATGGTTACCCGATTTATCATTCTTCTGTCTCAGCATAAATCCCACTGGGAAAGCCAAAGTCCATGAACGGGGAAGCATGTTTGATCATTAGAAAGAAATCTGCCTTCGTAGTTTGCGAGTCAAAATAAGCGTAAAGCACAGACTAACGGTGGCGAATACAGGATTTCGTTAAAGGGGTGGGTATTACTTTATGGGGGTCCTCTGGCGTTTTGGGGACCCTACAGAAAAAAACATCCTTGTATTCTGGCCATTGTATTCAAACGCTTTTTCGCATGTTATTTGTTATATGTATAAGTCACGAACCCACGGCAATGACATATACAATGTCGGCGGCGCGTACAAATATATTCGGCAATTGCGCGTAAAAATACCGTAGCATATCCGACAGCTGCCTTGAGGCTAGCGCCAAAAGGGAAATAGTCATCATGTAGATCTCGGACTTGTGTGCATCTATCAATTAAGCCAGGCCCGTACACGTGGCAGACGAAACAACCCGGCGCCCGCAAGTACGTGTGGGGCTTTTGGCGACAAAGATCCCTCTGATTTCATCGGAAGAGCCCCCGACTAATGTGGAGGGCCCGGAGAGATCGAGAGTGCCCCGACAGACGAACATCTAGGCCTTCCGTCAACGGCGTGGACCTTTTTGTAAAATAGGAAACTCTAAGATTAAAAGGAACGGCACCTGAGTGATCAAGGGTGGCCAACAAAGAGGCTCCCGTCATCAGCGTGGGGTTTTTAGAGCCAGGGGTAAAGCTTAAGTCTTGGCAAGGGAGCACCAGGTCAACAAAGGAGACTGATGACGAAAGCCCCTCTCCCCTACAAAACAGTTGCCGGATAGGGCTTACTTGTCAATGAGGGGCGCAGGTTTCTTTGTTTTATTATTGCTGGTAGGCCCTTTGACTGGAACAAACGTCAGAAGCTACCATGAGATAAATTCAGTTTGAGCTTGAAGTTCATAAGAATACTGAAGAACTCACCTGTTAAACAACTACATGTAAATTTCCTCCGCTCTTCATTTTACGGCGATTCAGTGGAATCTTTCCAAACCGATAGAACTCGGGAGATTTGCCAAAATTTTGATCTAGGTTCTACAGAGATATTGAAGCCTCGTGAACGCAGTTTGTCGATCGAAATTGGTCAAAATTTTACCAACATGGCCAACTCATATTCGTCTGTAAATCTGTAACATTCAGGCAGAACCGGTAAGTGATAGAAATCCAGTCACACAGTTCTGAAGATGCGGGCTCGCAAATCTTAGCAACAAAAATATCGACGTCCGGCGTTGCGGTCTCCATAGGCTGCGCGGCGTCGGCCCGCGGCTGATCCCTATCAAGCGGTGGCCAGTGGGAGGATGACAATGATAACGCATCCGAAAGAATACCCTTTGAACGGTACTGGACATCAATTCGCGCATTCTAAAGGCAGACCGGAGTATGTCTCACTTATATGATATTTAGATTGATAATAATGACATATAAGCCTTTACAACACCGCATAGGGGTGGTGAATCTTTTGGTGGAGCTGGTAAAGCAAAGGTAGAATCTCTATTTTTCGTGTCACTGTAGGTAAATGGTGATCAGTACGTGTATCACGACCTCAAACGCGTAAAAGGAAGCGTCCCAGTCTTAACTAGAATGGGACCTATTGATCTTGAAGTATTAAATGAATGTAGTGTAAAAGCTGAACATTATGTCATGACGGCCGTTCTGACGTGCACGGCGCCCGCCGCCTGGCGCTACGTCCAGTGGCCAACACCGAGACTGAAACCCCGGCTACCACTGCCCTCGCTCATGAAATTGCGGGCGTGCAGGCCCAGAACCCTTTCATGTAACTTGTTTCGCTGGTCGATTCCGCACAAGAATGGATGTTCCAAGGTAAACATGAGTTGACCTTTTCAATTTTTGAACACATGTCGACCCACTCTTTTCAAAATCAATGAGACCGTTTACTTTTTGCTGGACGTGGGGCCCGTGAGTAATCGCTCCCGGGAAAGGACTGAAGGGCTATTTCGTCCCACGTGGCTTCGGCTGCGAGGTGACTTCGGCTACCACTCTCGCGACACGGGGGCGTGGTCTCATGGTCGAGCCGTAGGCCCTCTGATTAATACATACATCGGTTGCCTTCCTGACGGGATAGGACCTCTGACCGAGGTTGTTAGCCCGGAGCGACGCATGGGCACTCATCGACGCAAAAAGATCCATTTCCAGTACAAGAGTCTCATGAATGGGACAGCGACCCCAGTTCGCCTTCTTGGTCCCCTGGCTGAGGTGATGCACGCTTACTGAAATCGCAGAATTTCCTAAGGTAACAGAATAACATGGTGGAATCAATGCAGCCATGGAATATTCGAGTAAAGTCAATTAGCGAGCCGTCCAGAATACTTTTATTTGGAAGTTATTTGGAAGTGCACTGTTGGAGGCAAATGTGGAATGTTGTTCTTTGTGGCGCTCAGCGGTATTCGCGTCGCGGCTCTCCTCCCCAGGCTCCCCTTAACGCGGTGTCGCTGCGTTCGGGTTCCTCCCGGGACCGGGTGTGTTGGGTGCGTTATTGAGAAATATAGCTTTAAATGATTCGAATGTTCTCAGTGACAACAGAGGTTGTCATGAAATGATGCCCGCCTCATTGCTTTAAACCAGTTCAGACGAATGTGAATGTCAACCTTGGTGTGGCCTGTGTGTGCTCTGTGCCAATGTTCCAGCAAGCGTGCTTTAGGTGAATTTTGGTCGTTTTTGAGACCAAGACTGAGTGATAGAGGATATGCAATACTTTTTTGAAGCTGGAACCATGGGGAAGCATCAGTCTATTGACACCTTGGGAGCACAGTTAGGAGGTGCTTAATCCACTGAGGTTAATCAACAATGTGGGCCTTCTTTGTGACAGGCTTGAATGATCTTCTCGCAGCATCTGCATTTTTGTAACTGAACATCTGATTCACTCACATTTTTCCACTCTCCGTATTGCTTTTGTTTTATAACAAAGGCCAACAAAGAGCATTTGCAGCTCCTATGCCCAGAGATGCAATTGAATTGTTTTGATCTGCTGATAAGTGAAGTGATTACATGAATGGGAAGCATGGGGAATACTAAGGAGACAAAGTTGGGGATGGGATGGATGCTTTCTCATGTTTTTGCATGCAGGTCTTCTAAACTAAAGATGTCTTAACAATACTTGTAAGTCTTTGTTAGCATTGAGGGTATAAGGTAACTGTGAGCAAGCATATTGTCTTAGGTCAGGCAAGGTGAAATTAGGTCATACTAAGCTGGATCATGTAAGATCAGGTCAATTCAGGTCAGGTATAGGCCAGGCTAAGCCAGGCAAAGCCAAGCTAGGCTATATTAGGTTAGGTTATGTGGGTTAGGTACAGACAGTTCACATTACACTGCACCTCAGAAGCAAATGGTTACATGCTCTAACAAAAACTGGCTGAACCTTGTGGGCATGTTTAAAGTTACACTGATTCAGAAGAATATGATATGATTTTTTATTACCTTGATAGGTAAGTTGTGAGTGATGCCCTGAAGTAGGAAAATTTGTGCACATACAGGATTATTGGCTATCTTTGGCTTTCACTTTATAGCTTCAGTTTTCCTTTTACACATCAGGTGTGAAATTATTTTAAGGTCACATCAATGCTGTAGAATGTGGACAAGCTGTGAAATGTAGGGTCATGTGGGGTAGGGTCATGCCACCCCTCTCTTAATTTTGCACTAGTGCACTAGTTGATGAACCATGAAAGTTCAATATATGAAGCTCCTCATTTTGCAATGAAACCTGACCTGTCATATCCTCTGAATCAAGTGGTGGAACTGTAACTGTGCTTCTTTTGTGACAGCTTCGTTGGGGCTGTGACTTTTGTGGTTCCAGCAGCTCTGGTGGAGCTGTGGCCACTGCTGTTGTAGTAGCACTGGTGGGACTCTGACTGTGCTGCTGCTCTGGCAGTGCTGGTGGAGTTGTGGCCATGCTGCTGTTCCAGCAGCTCTGGTGGAGCTGTGACTGCTGCGTTTCCGGCAGCTCTGGTGGAGCTGTGAGGGCTGCTTTTCCGGCGGCTCTGATGGAGCTTTGGCTGTTTTGGCAGCTCCGGGCCCAGCTGGGCCGCCTCGGACTGCTGGAGCTGAACGGACTCAGTGGGCTGGTCGGCGTGGCCACCCGCTGTGCTGGGGCGTGTTTGGCTGCGCATGCTCCGACCAGAGCTGGACGCGCGCGTGCGCGAGTCACCGCTCAGGGGGCCGTGGGTGCCGCCGCCAGCTAGAACGGCCCCCTCCGACCGGCTCGGCGACAAAACGGCAAGTGACTGGCTGAGTGGCCTGCAATCGGTGTTTAGACAATGACGGTGATGTGTATAGATAATGCTAACATTTATAATGTACATGCAACACAGAATTATGTCGTGTGCAGTGGCCCTGTGCGCACCAAACGAGCCGGTGAAGCGCACTGCTAACTAAAATTGTAGAGTTGAGAGTGAATTGTGTATTTCCGAGTCACGTCATTGGTCTTGCCTTGCTGCTGCCATGTTGTGGTAGTGGTGGTCGCAGACCGACCGGGCGCATGCGGCCGTTGTGTCACCGCGCTCGCCGCGTGTCGCCAGTCGCTGCGGTCGCGCCTGGCCGAGATGGAGGCGCTGGCCTACGTGTGGCCGGGCTCGGAGCTGTCGCTGGGCGCGCAGAGCAGCTCTGACACGCGGCCCGAGCTCACGACCGTCCTCAAGGCGCGCGACGCCGATAGGAGGGCGACCAAGGCGCGTCGCAAGCAGAGCAAGGTCAGCAGGGGCTCCCGTGCGCCGCCAGCCACTGATGGGACTGCGCTGTAGCCGAGCTATTGACCGGTGATGGTGCTGTGCTGAGTGACGACATCGGATTGGGCGTGTGTGTTTGATGAGTTTGTTGTTTATCTCGTACGAGTTTGTGGACAGATATTTGTGTGGGGATTTGTTTGTGACATGATCAGTGTTACTTTGTGCTACTTTACGTGCAAGGCGGAGGCACACGCCCCGTGGTGACACTGATACTATAAACAGGCACGACCAACCCTCATTGTGCCCATTTGTGAACCTCTGGTGGCTCCACGGGCACTTCGCATGGCTGTCCAGACACCCTTTTCCATTTGAGAACCGCTGGCGGCTCCACGCCGCAGATCGCGCCGGCACAGAAGTCACGCCGCGCCGCGCTCGGCGAGGATTCGCAACGCGCGCGCCGCAGACTGTCCCGCGAGCCGGCCGCCGAGCCGCTCCGCGCGGTGGCGCCACCGTCGGATCGCCAGGCGGCGCTGGGGCGGCCGGCGCCGGCCGGCTCCGGCGAGAGCGCGGCGGAGCAGAGCAGCGCCGGAGGGGAGCCGCCGCCAGCGCCGAGCGGCCTGGTACCCGGTGGCCGGCAGGAGGATGTTGGCGTGGCCGTCGTGCAGGTGAGCCCGCTGACGGGTGGCCCTGTGTGGAAGGTGCTCAGCATAGTGTTGGGGGACTGGACTGTGATACAGTGAGTGTTGCAAACGTAACCAGCGTTTATCGAGATGCAAGACAACGGTGTGAGGTGTACATTCCTCACCACTTCTGGGAGAGCATCACTCAATGGCCCAGTCATTTCAGACATGTATAAAACTCAGAGCTGTTGTATGTCCAACAGCTGGTGCAGCAGCAGCTGCCTGTCGCAGCCAGCCCGGACCTGGCCGGACTGGTGGCTCCGGAGGGTGGCACTGCCGGCGGCGCTGACACCCTGCAGGAGGTGCTGCAGAAGTTTATGTGGGCCAAACAGCAGGCCAGCGCCGCCGCTGACCTGATGTCCAGCCTCCGCCAGGTGGTGGAGCAGATGGATCAGGTTTGTTGTCCAGCCTCCAACAGGTGGTGGAGCGGATGGATCAGGTTCGTTGTCCAGCCTCTGACAGGTGGTGGAGCGGATGGATCAGGTTCGGTGTCCAGCCTCTGACAGGTCGTGGAGCGGACGGATCAGGTTCGTGGTCCAGCCTCCAACAGGTGGTGGAGCGGATGGATCAGGTTTGTTGTCCAGCCTCCAACAGGTGGTGGAGCAGATGGATCAGGTTTGTTGTCCAGCCTCCAACAGGTGGTGGAGCGGATGGATCAGGTTCGGTGTCCAGCCTCTGACAGGTGGTGGAGCGGATGGATCAGGTTCGGTGTCCAGCCTCTGACAGGTAGTGGAGCAGATGGATCAGGTTCATTGTCCAGCCTCTGACAGGTCGTGGAGCGGATGGATCAGGTTCGGTGTCCAGCCTCTGACAGGTAGTGGAGCAGATGGATCAGGTTTGTTGTCCAGCCTCTGAGAGGTGGTGGAGCAAATGGATCAGGTTCGTGGTCCAGCCTCCAACAGGTGGTGGAGTGGATGGATCAGGTTCGTTGTCCAGCGTCTGACAGGTGGTGGAGTGGATGGATCAGGTTCGGTGTCCAGCCTCTGACAGGTCGTGGAGCGGACGGATCGGGTTCGTGGTCCAGCCTCCAACAGGTGGTGGGGCAGATGGATCAGGTTCGGTGTCCAGCCTCTGACAGGTCGTGGAGCGGACGGATCAGGTTCGTGGTCCAGCCTCCAACAGGTGGTGGAGCGGATGGATCAGGTTTGTTGTCCAACCCCCAACAGGTGGTGGAGTGGATGGATCAGGTTTGTGGTCCAGCCTCTGCCAAACGGTGGGCAGGTGGAACAGTTTCGTGGCGCGAAGCTAACCACTTGGCGACAGTGCTGTGGAGAAGGCAGGTGTTGGAAAGGTGGCTTTACACCAGGTATCAACAGAGGCTATGTATATTTAATGTTGTGAAAATTGCCAAGCACATGGTTAACAGAGCCAAAGTGGTTTAACTTAAGTGGCTAAGCTGTTGAAGGTTATGTGGAGATAACTGTTTGTTCTACACTACTGCAGCTATGAAATGGAAAAAACCTCCTATTTGGTATGGTTTTAAGTACCAAAACAGCACTCTGTGTATGTACGCATTTGTTACAGAGCTTTTCTCGGAACCGAATTAATACACATAAATCGATTTGAAGGTCATCCGTAATATTTTACTTACTATCAAAAAATAATGATGAAGTGATAAAAGATTATTTCGAGTTGGGTCAGTGCATATCCTGGTGCTGATCAAGGACAGTCATGTTGTGCCCTGCGAATGTCACACTGTCGCATACGTTCGGAGCGCCCTACCATTGTGCGTCGCGCTTCTCGCCGTGCTGTCTGTATCAACATCGCGTGCCTCTCCCAGGCCGAGTCGTCCGACCCGCCGCCGACGGCGTCAGGCCCCGGGTTCGTTCCCCGGGCGGCGTCCGCCGTCGCGGCTCGTCCCCCGCCGCTGCCGCCTCCGCCGCCGGCGCCGCCGCCGCCGCCGCCGTTGGGCCGTCTGCCAGACACGCGGAGCTCGCTGCTGGCCACGGCGTCGTCGCTGGCGGCGCGCACTGGCAGCGAGCCGACGTCGGGCGGCTGTCGGGCGCGCTCCACGCGCTCGGCGGCCAGCGCCAGCTCGTCCGAGACGACGTCCGTGCTGCCGGACGAGTCTCGCTCCCAGCTGCACACGGCCACAGAGTCGAAGCCGTCCCAGTGCGAGGGCCGCGAGGTGAGGACGCTCAGCCGTCCCCGGTGTGGAAGACTGGTGGGCTGTCCTAGTGTGAATACAGCAAGGTGGGCGTCACAAACCGGCTGTGGATGTCGTGTTATGCATGTAGTGGTGTGCGGCGAGATACATTTGCGAGCCATCTGCAGTAGATGTGTGTGGTGGAAGGCCTCTGAGGTTTGGGTTACGGCGCGTCAGCATGAGCTAAAATCTCAGCCACCTATTTACAAGTCATTGCACATCTGCTGAATGTGTGCTGTCGGCTGATGCCTGGTTCTCACCTGTCTCGGTCACTCCAAGGGACAGCCTGACATTGGTCTCGTTACCGGACAGTGCTCGGACACCTGACAATTTTCCCGCCGCCGGGCAGGGCTTGGACACCTGACTCCTGTCACGCCGCCCGGCAGGGCTTGGGCACTTGATTCCTGTCCCGCCGCCGGGCAGGGCTCAGGCACCTGACCCCTGTCCCGCCTCCGTGCAGGGCTGGAGCACTTGACCCCTGTCCCGCCCCAGGGCAGGGCTGGGACACCTGACTCCCGTCCCTCCGCCGGGCAGGGCTGGGACACCTGACTCCCGTCCCTCCGCCGGGCAGGGCTGGGACACTTGACTTCTGTCACGCCGCCGGGCAGGGCTCAGGCACCTGACCCCTGTGCCGCCGCCGGGCAGGGCTGGGACACTTGACCCCTGTCCCGCCCCAGGGCAGGGCTGGAACACCTGACCCCTGTCCCGCCGCCGGGCACGGCTAGGACGCTTGACCCCTGACCCGCCGTCGCTGGCGCCGTCGCCAGGACTCGGATACCGGCTCACGGTTCCGTTCGGCCAGCGAGGCGGCGCTGGCGCTGGGGTCGGCAGCGCCGGTCCAGCAGCGCCAGGTGGAGCAGCTCCGTCTCCAGTTCCAGCGACAGCAGGACCGCCTCCGCCATCTTGAGCACACCAACTACGTAAGCACGGCTTGTGACGCCGGCGCTGGCGGCGGAGCCTTGCTACGCACTGTGGAGTGCGGCTGGAGGTACTGTTTATTCAGAAGTTAATGTAAGTTCCGAAATAAACGCCGCAGTCGGACAACAGTAGCGCCACTGGCCGACCACTGGAAACAGGTACACATTGATCCGTCTTGTGCTGTCTTTATTTTATTAAACAAGGATTCGAAGTGGTGTTTCTGTTGCTGCGCTTGCACACAAATCAGCATGAATGTTGCCGGCTCAAAGTTACGACAACATAGTGTTCGTTGTGATCGGAGGCCCTGAACGGACATAGCATGAGCTAATCCATTCCCTGGGTCTGTAGTCTGATTGCTGTGGTACCAGGCGGCCAGTATCGCCAAATATTTGTGGGATCACCGGTGTCGTCCCAGCCCATCCGCCGTCCTGTTTTCCCCTGTGGAACGTCTGTCCGCTTCCACCGCAGCCGTTCAGTGCGGCCGCCAGCGCGTGTCGCCCGCGGTCGCCCCGAGCTGACGGCCGGCCCGGCTCCAGGTGCTGAACCTGGCCGTGGATGGCCAGGAGAAGACGGTCCGCACGCTCACCACCCAGCTGGCCGACACCAAGGAGGCCCTGCTGCAGGAGATCAGCCAGCAGGCGGCGGGCGCCGGCCCGTCGCGGCGCCAGCACCGCGCCGAGGCCCACCCCAGCCTGCACTCGGTGGCCGTCGGGCCGGACAGTCCTGACTCAGACCGGGACGGGGCGCAGGCGGACAGCAGCGCGGAGTCGGCCGGCGCGGCGCGGCAGCGGGGCCCCGCGTCGGCCGCCAGCCCGACGGCCGACGGCCGGGAGGAGGCCGCCGCGCCGCCGCCGGTCGCCACGCCGCCGGCGCCGGGGGTGAGTGGACGGGTCGATGACGGCATCACAGCGTGGGGCCCCGGCGGGGTGTGATGCTATGCTCGGGGAAGGACCGCGGTCTGCACGCCTTCACGTGTGCGGTAGAGATGATGGCTGGTGAATGCTATGTCTTGCTCAGTGGAGGTGGAATGCCAAATGAGTCGTGGGGAGGGGGAGGGGCTAAGGTTAGTTGGAGCAGTTGCCCCTCCTTTAATTATTAAAGCCAGTTTTTATAGGTTTTGACACAGGATCGAATGCGGTCTCGCCCTCAATAGCCATCAAGTATCACCACTGTTATTACGTGGCGTTCGGTAGCAAGACTCGGTGACATTGAGCGGGCGGGGTCAGTGACCCGATCCACCGTGTGTCGGCGGTGCTCTGCTCGCGCTGACGCTCGAGTGACGGTGCGACAGGTGGCGGCGCCAGTCGGTCCGCCGGCCCTGGAGACGGGACACGACAGGAACCGGCGCGAGGTGGCGCGGCTGAGCGCCGCTCTCGAGACCAAGGTCAGTGGCGCCCGCCCCGCGGCCCGACTGCGTACCGTCGTTTTACCAGTACTTTCTGGCATGAAGTTAATAACTTAGTGTAACGACTCTGAACTCGTAACGCTGTTGTTTTGTTCATTCCTACCAATAACTTCGCTTAGGACGGTTTCAAATGCACAACGCATCCCTTATGGTCTTTTCCTTGGAGCGTAGGCATTAAAACGTACCAAAGCAGTCGTCAAAGCCAAAATATTCGCTCCCGCCAGGAACGGGAGCTTGCAATGCTTCGAATGGATAAGTTACACACTCAAGAGAAAAGCTTCGCTGAAGATGCTAAAGCATTCTCGACTCCGATCAACACAAGTAACTACCCAAGACAGGTATGGATCGTTTTGCTTTATGTTCGTTAATTGACACTGGCTTTATGCTGTTTTTTTTAGTCTTTATCTAGTTAAATTCGGACTCTGTGCAGGGTTGTGTTTGTAAGACGGACTGCCGTACCGACCCTTCATTACCCCTCACGATTCGCCACCGAATGATCTGGAAGCACTCTGAAACTGACCATACCGATCCAAACCAGCCGGTGGAACAGCTGCGCATCCAGCGCTGCTTTGAAGAGCGCGCCCGCTCACTCGTGCCGCGTGGGCCACGACACGACTGGTGGCGGCTGCCACCTGGCCGGGGGGGGGGGGGGGGGGGGGGGGGCTCTCTCGTGGTGCCGGCTGTCCGGCGCGCCTGAGCGGTCCGACTGCGCCCTCAGGCGGCGTCGGACGGAGCCCGCGCCCGCTCCATGGAGGTGTTCGGTGGCGGTGGGCCGGCACTGGCCGACGGGCCGCCGCGCCGCCACAGCTTCACAGCCTCGCCGACGGTCAGTGGGGGCGCCACGCGCTGCTGCGGGCCATCGCAGGGCCGGGGAGACAGTCCTGCACCTCAGCGTCACTGATGGCCAGCACAGGCTCTTAAGCCGTGGTAGTTCTCATGGTGCCGGGGAACATCGGTGAACCCTGTTTGGGTTACATGCCTCAGATGCGCCCATTCAGTGACATGTTCTGGTGCGCGGATGTGTGCACACCAGGCTGCCTCCTGCGTGCCGCGACGTCATTTTGACTTGGGGGTCACCTCCTCACGTATGAGTCCATAACGCATTTTAATATTATGTGTCAAGAAATTCGGTCTTTTTATCGTCATAAACGGGTCGCAAAAATAGCCAGAACTGTGGTTCAATGCCGGTCAGGCCTCACACAAAGTGTCTGTCTGTCTCTAATTTTGTCTATACGTGAGTGTACCTCTGATCCAGTCAGCTTAATGTGTGGCGCAATGTTGTGCAGACCTCGCGCACCCGGTCTTCATTACATGCATGCGTGGGTGCGTTTGTGATCCGATAGACAGATCCCTACCGTGTATACGACGCTCCTGCAGTAGCCAGCGCCCGTTCACGGTCACCGCCCCCTGACCGCCCTCGCCTTGCCTGCAGCACCGGCGGATGGGGGACGAGTGGCGGCAGCCGGGCCGGCCGCGCCGCGCGCAGAGGTCGCTGCTGGCCGAATTTGAGCGTGAGAGCGCGTCGCGCGCTACTGCCCCGGCGAACGCCGACAGGACGACAGGTGACCAGCCCCGCCCAGCCCCGCCCCGCCCCGTCCGTCCAGGGGGCGGCAGCGCCGTGTGGTGTCCAGAGTGGCGCCTGTCTCAGTTTCAGGCTAACCCGGCCAGGCGCGGAGTGACACTGTCTGTTGGGTTATTTATTGCGGGTGGTTACTCATGACTTGTGGTTGTTCGGTTTGTGATCTACTCTCAGGAAATTGTACTAGACATGAGTAATTACGCGAGGCCGATATTCGTATCGAGTCGTCCTGATCGGTCCTGCCCGTTCCCTCTGCCCCTTTCTAAGGCCTGACTGGGCCAAACTGTGGTGACCTCAGACCAAAAGTGTGGGCGTGGCTGTATCGCTATAGGAGGTCCACACGCGACTGTGGCAGTTGTGTGTAGCTATCACACGCGGGAGCTGTGCGCCACACGTGAGATGTGGACTGCTCGGTCCCGGGCGGTGCGGCTTTGCCACTGGCGCTGGCTGCTTCTGGCGCTGAGCGGTCGGTCCCGACTCTTCTGGTGACGCAGAGCCTGGGCTGCAGACTTTGAGGAGCAGTGCGAGGAGCTGCAGCGAGCCGTGAATGAGGGCAGGACCCAAATCAGGAGACTGGAACAGGAGATCTTCGAACTGAAGTGTAGCGGTGGAAAGAACCGGGACAATTTTGGCGTGAGTTGTACCCTGCCCTCAAGCGCTAGTGGCATCTAACTGTTGCTGCTGGTCAACATGCGCCAAGGGACAAACTTATCGAAGGCTGCATGCACTAAATTTCTGTACTTTCCTTGCGTTTGCCTGTTAGCTATATTGTCTGTCTAGGCTGGCTTTGGGGAGCGAAAGGTACAAGTACCTGTCCACTCCAGATCCTCGACCTATCGCAAGCTTGCACAAGGCCGTTCTCGTCGTTTCCTACCAGCGTGTCATCCTGGCCGTTCCTGTCCCCATTCCCCTCCCCTTCTCCACACCTCCCGGCCGGACCGCCTGTCCCCAGTCACCGCCGCCGGCCGCCGCCGACCCGTCGGGCTGGGAAGCCGCCGGCGGTGCCGGCCAGGGGCGACCTGCGCTCGCCAACCCCTTCCCCAACATAGTCCGCCTTACCGAGGTCAAGCTGCAGGAGGCCTACCAGCTGCTGTTGACCGAGAGGCACCGCAGCAAGCTGCTCAGCAAGCAGGCTAAGGAGGCGGTCCACAGGGTTCGTCGCGATCTGGACACACGTGCTCGGGAGGAACCGTGTTATTTCGCTTGCCATCAATCCGAATGTAGGGCTTGCACTGCTCGTGGTGCCAAGGCATTTTGTTCGACCCAAGATTCGCGTATTTTAGCGAGTGCACGTGTGTGCTACCCCCTTGTTCGTCCGTTTCTTGTCATGAACATTTATGCACTTGGGTGTTATGGTATTTTAAGAGAAAAAATACATCGCTATTTCGTCCAGCACGCATGTAGCACACGTTCCGTCGCGCGTCCCCTGCGGCCTTCTGAGTGTTGACCGCTGCCGCGGCGCGACGGCAGCTGAGCAGCGGCGCGCCCTGACGACCGGCCGGGCTCGTTCCAGTTGGAGCAGCTGACGGCCGGCACCGATCTGCTGAAGCAGCAGCTGACGCGCTCGGTGGAGGAGCGCCAGAGCCTGCAGACGGAGCTGACGGCCGCGCAGGCCGCCGCCGCTCGGCTCGAGCCGCAGCTACAGCAGCTCAGGTGGGCGGCGGCCGGCGCCGAGGCCCGTCTCGCGGGCCCGGTCGGGCCGCGCCGTGGGCCAGCGAGCGTGCGGGCTCTGGTCCCGCAAGTCTTGGTGCCGTGGGCGCCGGTCCCGTGGGTCCCGGTCCGCCCACGCCACCAGACAGCGGCATTACCACCCTAGGCCGTGCTGCGCCACGTTTGTTTCGTGTCGGTCCTCTCGTGGGATGAGGCCCCAGCCGTGCCAGTACCTCCTGCTGCCGGGTCTGTGTTACGCCTGGTCAGCACGGTTACATTACCAATGGCTGGTGTCGTCGGGGCAGCTTCTGCTTGGCATCTATCGGTGCTTCAGTATCATAAGTCCGCTACACAGGTTTCGGTTCAAGCTAGAGGATGTAATGGAATATGCGGGATGTGGTTATTGCGCAATGCCTTTTGTCCGCTTCACTCATTGCGAGCTGGGTGCCCCCCCCCCCCCCCCCCCGTGTCCCGTGCTGTCGGTGAGCATCCTCAAGCCTCTATCATCTCTGCAAACAAACTGAGTATGCGCCCCTGTTGCCGGCCTGTGCGTGCGCCGTGCAGTGAGCAGCTGCAGCAGAAGGAGGCTCTGCTGGGCCAGACGTCCCTGCACCTGGAGGAGCGGATTGGTCAGGTCAGCTGTGCTGGGGCGTCAGCTTCTGTGCGCCTCTGCATTTACCCGCCCGCTTATCCATTGCTCAGCTGCTTTCTGTAGGGGACCTGTGCTAGCTGTAAATGGACGGCGAGCTTGCGATGATAAAGCTGTGTGTTCCATCGTAAGATACATTACGTACTAGGATGTAAATGACCGGAAAGCCTAGCATATGTTTCCGAGTGTCTCAATTTTTGTTATCTGAGTGGTGCTCCACGCGTGATCTCTATAGTGTGCGTGCCTCAGTTAGATGGGGAAGCAATGTTACAGATGGTTTTCGCTAGGGTTTGGCGCGGCGCTGAATGTTTTCCATTTTCCCACGATTTTGACACCCCTGTTTTCCATTTTCCCACGATTTTGACACCCCTGCTCTTGTCACATTCAGTTGTGTGCGCTTTATTGGCTCGTTGAGATGCGTTATAAAAATTGACAATTCGGGTATACCTAAATCGAAGTATGTAGGAAAGGATTAATAAGTTGTGTTTATTATAAATCATCCGTACATCGATGCATTTGTACCAAATTATACTAGTCAATTCACATTAGTTATGATGAAGCTGGTGGTCTCGTTGTGTTTTTGCACGTCGTAGAAGCGTTTGCGGAATCAAGGCAGCCTGCTTTGCCTCTAACACAGGTCACCTGCTGCCCGTCAGGTGGCAGCACCGAGCCGGCAGCCGGAGTCAGCCTACTACGTCTCTGACACAGTTCGCCCATTTCCCACCAGGTGACTGTACCGACCCGGGAGCTGGAGGCAGTCTGCCTGGCTTCTGACACAGTTCATTTGTCGCTCGCCAGGTGGCCGCGCTGAGCCGGGAACTGGAGGCAGCACGCGCCGAGGCGGCGCGGGAGGAGCGGCGCGCCTCTGAACGGCTGGAGGAGCAGCTGGCGCGCGCTGCCCAGCTGGAGGAAGCGACCGGCGCGCTCCAGCTGGAGAACAAACGGCTCCGGCAGACGGAGGCAGAAGCCAGCCAGATTGCTGCCGTGAGTGGTCGCATGCGGGGATGCGGGACGCTGAGAAGAGCCCTCGCCGGCGTCCTGGTCCAAGGGCTCACAGAGGCATGTGTCCACACTCATTGTGTCTTGATGTGAAAACGGACCTGTTTGTATGAATGTTGCGGGGGATACGGTAGGGTTTCTACTTTCTACCCGAAATCTCCGGTGTGTTCCACGTCGTAAGATACTCCACATGAGTCTGGTCTGATGATAGGCAGCTGGGCAGGTTGTAACCTTCGAAGCATGACGCAGACATTGCTGTGCGAGTCCATGTGACGACACAACTGGGAGCGTCTGCAGCAGCTGACGGTGTAGCGCACCCTGAGCTGGGGTCGTCGGCGCGTGTCGTCCCGTGTCGGACGCGTGCCTGTTTAGTGTTGGCGACTTCCGCGGCGTTCCTTAGCTCATCCCCCCCCCCCGCAGAATGAACGCCGACTGCGCCAGCGCGCGGTGGAGCTGCAGGAGAGGCTGGACCAGAGTAATGCCACGGCGAAAATGCTGGAGAACTACGTCCACTTCCTGAAGTCATCGTACAACAGCATGTTCGGTGCGCCGTCAGCGACTTCGCCCACGCCTGTGTCGTTTGACGAGCACGGTGCATTCAAGAGTGTGTACAACTCGGCTGCGAGCAAGTAGGATTGTGTCTTCCTAGGAAGCAGTAGGTTGCGCACCTTCATATCGCTGATGAGAGGGAAGGTGGGGCGATTACGTGAGAAAGGAGATTTTGTGTGCCATGGACGAATGAAATACCATAGATTTGTTGGTGCGGGCAATGCGCGATAAGACGGTTTCGTTCTCGCCTCATTGTGTGCGTGGCGTCGAGCAAGTGATGGCCATAAGTGCTGGAGTCCCGGACTGTTGTGTTTACTGCGTCATGTGAGGACATTCTGAATTGTCTGGTGGTAGCCTGCCAGGGCTTCAACACAAGCTGTGGCGACAAAGCACGACCATGGCGCCTGCTTCTGCTGATGGGAAGAGCCGTCATGTCTTGCCGTGTTTTAAATGTGACGCTCGACATACATGTATCCTGTATGTCACGCCGTAGAAGCACGGTTTGCGCGGCGTAAGAACTTCGTGTTATCGTTCTTCGATGTTCTGCACCGTCGGAATGTTTGGGGCCAGTGGCGGCTGCTTGTTATCAGTAAACGGTCCATGGCTTGTAGAATAATGGGAAGATGTGATATTTTTGCCGTTCTAGTCATTAGTTCTTGTCAGCATTGTGTTCTGAATACACGTATTCTTGTAATTCGCTATAGAGGTGGGAGCGTAGCAAGCGCACGCGGTTGGTAGCAAACCTAAACGTTTGGCAGATTTGTAGGCGTTTGCGATTGTACACATTGCAATATTCACCTCAGTGCAACGGAAGTGCTAAAAAATTATACACGCTTGTATGTGCGTGCATGCCAGTGCCTGGAATGGCCACCTTAAAGCAGTTAGTAATCGTTGACGGGAACACTATAGCCAACTGTGGCAATTTTTCGTGACGCCCGGTGTTTCCTGATCGAGTGCCTGGTGACTTACCTTACTTTTACCAACTGTACCGTGCCATACCTTGCCTTACCTTACCTTACCTTACCTTACCTTACCTTACCCCACCCGGTCTGACCCTTCCGTACTCTAGCTTGCCTTACATTATCTTAGCTTAGCTTACCTCACCTTATCTTACCTTACATTATCATATCATACCATACCATAGCATACCGTACCGTACCATATCAATTACATACCATACCATGCCATACCACACACCACACCATACCACACCACACCGCATCATACCATACCATGCCATATCTTACAATGATTGGGAACCTGAAAGCCCACTTGACTTGTCGATCCCGGTCTCTTCGAGCTCCCGTTCAGGTAACGGAACAGTCAAATTAAGGATGTGGTCGGCGTGGCGCGGCCTACGTGTTGTCAGCTCAGCGTAAATCGGGCCTGGATTTTAACCGCTCAACTGAGGTTGACGATGCCACGGCTGGTGGAGGAGCGTTCCAGTCATATACGGCCGGCATGCTGAGCGAGTTTCGACGAACGGAAGTCCCAGCGCGGGGTTTTCCCAGCTTCCACTGGTGTTTTGTCACCTTCGGGTTGTGTCTTGCCAGGCACACCTCCATCGACAGCGACATGCCTCTGTGAAACATTTGTGACGCTGGAGCCATGTCTCTCCCGCGACGACGGTAGTTCAGCGAGGGCAGCTGTAGGAGTCGGAGCATCTCAGGATATGGCGGTGCCTCGCCTCTTGGACAAGACAAGTAGCTCGTCGTTGAACCCGCTCCGGCCGCTCCTGGTCCAGTTTTTGGAACGAACTCCAGGTGATGCCATGCTAAAAAAACATGGTCTCATACTCCCAAATCATGGCGTACCTTGGCCTTGTGCCGCCGTGGCGGCGTGTAAACGCCGATGCTGGCTAATGACCACTCCGCGACGCCATCATCTGGTTGGCCATCAAAATCCCCTCCGCCGTATGCATAAGGAACCTTAGGTTCCATAACCCGACGTTCAGTTCTCGATGGGCTCGACCGCGACTTCGGCGCCATGCATGAAGTAAGTTAGTCTCGGGTTGCAGTTCTTGTAGATGTGCATTACTCTGCACTTGATGTTCTGAAAGGGTGGCTAACCCTCTGACCACTTGACCAGGCTATTGGGGGCCCGCCTGCAGAAGGGACGCAGTCAGGGGCCTCGGAACACGACGATATGCCTAGTGTTATCCGCGGACATCTTAGCCGCGCTTCGTGCATGATCTGGTCAAAGGAGATGATGTATGGCGTCGGTCCCAGCATCCTTGAGGGATGTCGCTGGCGACGTCGATCCAGTTCAACTTTGAGTTCCGGACCGGCACTCTGCAACCGGTGAGTTAGGAAGGCCCTGATCCAGCGCAGCAAGTTACCTCGCACGCCGCAAGCATGGAGCTTCGAGACCAGACGGTCGTGAGGTATATAATCGAAGGCTTGAGGCATGGAATCGAGGTAACCTGCGTCCACCAGCTTCCCATGATCTACCGCTGCGCTCCAATTTTCGGAACTTGGTCAGCTTTATTTGTGTCCGCAGAACTTTTCAGGTGGACACGCATGAAGTGTGCGATACACTTACGGAGTTAGAGTAACAAGCCTTTCCGGAGAAACAGAGTGGGTAGCTTGGTTCCGTACGGAGGGCAGAAGCCCCGTTACTGATCTGATATTAGTGTCATCATTGTACTGTCATTGCCTAACTTTCTGAATGATAAAGTTCCAAGATACGCCGCGGCACTAGCCGCTTTGTTCACAGTCCGCGCATTATGGAGGCGTCCTATGATGTAATCAAGCGATAACGCAGGGAGAAATGCATTTATCAAATGCTCAAACTGTGTCGTTGATATTAGCTTTCCCTGAAAAACTTGCTAATAGTAACAATTAGATTTTTCTGTCTTGTCTGGCATTCGGTTCAACTTTTTTGATCGGGAAACTCTGGATGCAGTAGCAGGACTCATTTCTGTAAGCTGTACCACTTCTGTGAATATCATCGCCGCTGCTTCGCGCTGCTTACGTCACAGGAGAGCAAAGCACGCGGCGCTTGCGCCATGATATGAAACATCGTGCCATCGCTTGCGCGACGACGCGGACGCCGCACCGGGGGCGCGGTATTAAGTGGTGTGTGGGGCGACTCGTGGTCTTTGGACTCGGGGGCGCTGCTGAGAGCGGGAGGGGCCGAGGTGGCGCTCACGTTATAAGCGTTAGTACTTTGCCTACGGTACCAGCGTTCCATATCTTTCTGTCCAATCAGTGTCAATACCTTTGCACGGCATTAGTGTGCTGAAACCTTGGCACTTTCAAGTTGTGAAGCACCCGGCCCACTGGCGAATCGGATCTTCAAAGGAGAGCTACATTAACATGTAAGTGGTTATCTCTGTAGTTACGGTACATCATTGTAAGTACTTTTGGGAAGTTTGTGATTTACAGGTGTTTGTTGTGTCATGTGAGGTGTGCAGAAAGTTTTGAAGAGGAGCAACTGCAGGCTATGTCATACAAATATATGTTATGCAGAAGCATAAAGCATGTTGGCATTATTTGGTCCTGCATTGGGATTTGATTGCACCACAGTGCTACCTGAACACAGTCATGTTTGAAGTGCACTCCAATATAAATATGTTTGGACAAGTTCTCAACAAGTATATATTTATGTATATATGCATATACAATTATGGTGTGTGCACTGTCCTGTCCACCACATGCTCAGCTTATGGTGCCTGATTTTCCCAAGACATTGCAAATGATCATGGCAGAATGAAATTTGCACTCCATATGGCAACTAACAAGATGTTTCATTAATGTAGCACTCAATGTTTTGGCAGGTTTCATGATGGAATGGAGTTGGAGTGTAAAATATCACTTGGCCTGTCATTCCCAGTCTATGAGCTTCTTCAGATTACCAGTTTCAAAAAAGGGATGGATATGATAGGTATGGGATGTTATGCATGATATCAGCCCATTTCAATGAGCATAGGTTTTGGGTGCTCAATCGAGGTTGATGATGCCACTGCAGGTGGGAGGGCCTATTAATCATTTGCTGAGCTATTTTTGATGAGCATAACTCAAGGTGCCAGCTCAAGGTTTCTTCAGCTTCCATTGTTGTCTTCTTGCTACCTCTGAGTTATGTCTTGTGAGGCACCCCTTCACCATCAATGGCATGCCTCCCAGAAACACATGAAACCCTGCAGCTGTGTCTGCTCTGTGACAACCAGTGATTGTAGTTGTGCCAAGAGTAGGATGAGAAGAAAGAACCTCTCAGTAAATGTAGAGGAGTGAGGACCTCTCACTAAATGTGGATGAGTGAAAGCCTCTCAAGATATGTGGAGAACTGGCAGCCTCTCAGGATATGCCTGGTGCTATAACAAGTATATGGGCTAGCCTGTGCTTGTTCCAATGGCAAATGATAATGGTTATATATATATATATATATATATATATATATATATCATGATAAATAGCAGATGAAGATGGGCCTTGCAGTTGGGTTCTGTGGTTTTTGTCAGATTGAATCCAACTTCAGTGTTACCTAACTGAAGCTAACCTGACATTTTTCTTGGTGTTAAGGTTGGTGTTATGTATTCTTTGGAATAACTGTACTTTGAAGGTCATTTAAGACCAATTCCAAGACTACATATTTTAAGGCAAAAATAATTCAAACATGCAGCATAATTTGCCTGGCATAGGTTAGATGTGCATGTTAACCAGGCTCAGCTCACTGATGTTATGTTGGTGTCCAGTACTGCAGATAAATTTTTTGCCGTACTGGAGCCCATCTAATGTGTGCAACAACAACTAAATGTTTAACTGAAACAAAAATAGCAGAAACATTTCTGTCTTGGACAGATTTGTATCAGGCCATCTCACCACACCAAAGACTCAAAAATGCATGTTATATGGGGTATATTTGGCATAGCAGTGCATCCTGCAGAAAAATGGGGAGCATTTATGGCAAAAACCTGAGTGCCCAGAGGTTGTTGCAGGGCTGCCACCAATTTTGCCCCCCCCCCCCTCCCCCCATAGACAGCCAATGTTTCAGGAATCATGGTGTTTTATTAAAGGAAGTTTTCTGACACAAGTAGTCCAAAAATGTTTGTCACATAAGTACTTTAAAAGTTGAGGGTGCTTTAGCTGGGCCTGAGTTCAGTACATGCAAGCTTGAGATTTGGCATGCCAGTGTTTGTAGTTATGCAGTGCAGAATATGTGTCATGATTTTATTGTCACTACTGATTTTTAAATATCTTCAGCTGCATTCCCACTTAGTGTGAGTGAAAATACCAAATATTGAAAATCTATTGCCTGTACATAAAAAATATTTGTCAGTTGCAGACATTGCAACACTTTTTGCTGCATCGCTGAATGAAAGGAGGATGCAGCTGTTTTGAGGAAATCCTGGAATGATGCTTTGCAAGCTGGGACAAGGCAGCACAACCAGCACCTAAAGGATTGCATTTGTTCACATGATAATAAAGAGAGAAAGTGGCATAGTTCAAGACAGTGGCCATGATAGACATATCTGGTTTCTCAAATAGTTCAGTTGTTCATAAGCTGCATTTATGCACCCATTTAGCCGTAGGTGTTAGAAAAGGGGAAAGGTGTGTGGTGTGTGGTGATCAGATTATGAACATCTAGTTTTTGGTCTGTAAAAGTGATGCATGTATTGTGTCATCTTGAATCATATGATGCCATCCTTCACATCAGAAAGTCAAGACAACACAAGGCATGTGTTTAAGGTTCTTGCTCTTTAGTGGTTAGAGGTAGCAGCCCTCATGCAACTGAGACATGACATGACGTCCTCAGTATGCAGACTCGTCGCTGACGCCCTGAGCCGGCCGTCGTAAGTGCCACGCCTCTCCTTGCCTTGCAGAATGGCGGTGCGCACGCAATTCGAGGGTAACAACGAGATTGGCGTGTTTTCCAACCTGACCAACGCCTACTGCCTGGTGGGCATTGGCGGCTCGGAGAACTTTTACAGCCTTTTCGAGTCGGAGCTGGCCGACACGATCCCGGTGGTGCACGCTTCCATCGCTGGCTGCCGCATCGTCGGCAACCTGAGCGTCGGCAATCGGCACGGCCTGCTGGTGCCGAGCACGACCACCGACCAGGAGCTGCAGCACCTGCGCAACGCGCTGCCCGACTCGGTGCAGATCCGGCGCATCGAGGAGCGGCTGTCGGCGCTCGGCAACGTGATCGTGTGCAACGACTACGTGTCGCTGGTGCACCCGGACCTGGACCGGGAGACGGAGGACATCCTGGCCGACACGCTGCGCGTCGAGGTGTTCCGGCACACGCTGGCCGACAACCTGCTGGTGGGCTCGTACAGCTGCCTGAGCAACCAGGGCGGCCTGGTGCACCCGAAGACGTCCAGCCAGGACCTGGACGAGCTGTCGTCGCTGCTGCAGGTGCCGCTCGTCGCCGGCACCGTCAACCGCGGCTCGGACGTCATCGGCGCTGGCATGGTCGTCAACGACTGGTGCGCCTTCGCCGGCCTCGACACCACCTCCACCGAACTCAACGTCATCGAGAGCATATTCAAGCTGCGCGACGATGCCGCCGCGCCCACTATGAGCGCCATGCGCGACACGCTGATCGAGAGTACCACGTAAAGTGGCGGGGCGGGACGGGCGGCCCGCGCGAACGGCCGGCCGCCGTGGTGGGCTTGCCCGGTGGCAATCGGCGTGGTCCGTCTGCCGACGTGTCGGTTGTGTGGGCCAGGCCACGCGTGTGCCACGTGTGGGTGTTTGAGTGTGAGTGGAGCGCGTTTTCGAGGCGTTTCGGCGTGAGCGCGTAAGGCGTTTTCCGGCGACTGATGTGAATCCCGACGAGAGGTTGTTCCGAGAGAAGTTCTGTTAATGACGGGTTTTCAGGGGAAGCGTGCTAAGCCATTTGTGTAACGTCCGACATGGGGTGAAATGCCGGCTGATTATGCGTGGTCATTTTATTCCTTTTTAGACACTTCTCTGCATTAGAACCTCTTTGACATGACATGTGTACACTCATTATTTCGCCTGGCATGAGAATGTCTGGAAATACAAAAGTAATGCTATTTTTGGCCATTGGAAATGAATAAATAGGTAAACGATCCAATCTTTCAGGCCCGGAGACTTCCAAAACCACGACGGATGTCCGTTATGAATGACAACGGATCGCATGCGAGCCTTTTGTCACGACATCCTTCCATTACACCTGATGTGATTAAGAATGGGCTCATCCTACTGAATACTCATGACGACATTCGACATATAACAGCAGCATGCCGTGACCATCGAAATAGCCTTGGTCTAGATGCACGCCATGAAGCACTCGTTGCACCCGTCGCGAGATTGACCTCCGCTCCTCTGTCTTTGCCCGAGATCGGCGGACCGCCGCGCCAACCGGCCCTCCGCGCCGACCCTGTCCGGGCAGCTGGCCGTCTGCGCTGTTGCAGGTCGACGTCGCGGAGCCGCGAGCAGCTGTTGGCGCGGCTGGCCACCTTCTCGCCGGCGCGCTGGCCGGGCGAGCCGCTGAGCGCGCTGGAGTGCGCGCGCCGCGGCTGGCTGCTGGAGCCGGGACCCCGGCTACGCTGCGGCGCATGCCAGGCGGCCGTGTCAGCGCGTCTGCCCAGCCGCGGTCGGCCGCGCCAGCACGCAGCCGGCGTGGCGCGCCTGCGCCGCCTGGTGGCGGCCGGGCACCGGCCCGGCTGCCGCTGGACGGCCGCCGCGCTGCCGGCCGCCGCGTTGCGCCCGCCGCTGCCCGACACGGCCGCCGGCCGCGACCGCCTGCTGCGCCAGCTGCGGCTGCTGGCGCGCGCGGAGCTGCCGCTGCCGGCCGCCGCCGAGCCGCTGGTGGCGGCGGCGCCGGCCGCCGCGCTCCTGGCCGAGGCGTGTGGTGCCGATCTGCCGAGTTCCCAGCGGGCCGAGGTGAGCACTGCCGGCCAACGCCAGCAGCCGGAACAGATGGGGCTTCGGATGTCCATTCGCATGTTGTCTAACTAGCGCTCTGTTGTCCTCGTCCCCGAGTGGTCCGTGAGGAATCTATAGGACTGTGCACGTAAGGCAAGCTGCCGGCTCCCGGTACGTTCGTAGATATCATTAAACAAGAGAATCGATGTGATCGCATGTGACGTCTCGACCGGCGAACATTGTTGCTAGGCGTGCTGCGTTGGGGTAAATCGATGGTGTGGTCGAAGAGCATTTGTCCAGAGCGATTGAATTGCATAATGACGCAAAAGAAGGTTGCATTTGTCCAGGAGGGCTGCGGAGCTTATGGGCGTCGCACATACCGGCATGCGTTTCGCCGCCTACCCCGTTCAAAACTGCAGGGACTGAATTGCTGCCTGTTGGCTGCCTCCAACCCACATTATGGCCCTATATGATCGCGCAGTCGAAGAGCCCGAAAGCCCCAATGGCTACTACTACCACGACGACTGTCTCCAACCGAGTCTACTCTATTTCAGGTGGCTGTCAAGTATGTGCTGTCCGGTTGGGATCTTCTTGACAATGGGAAATACCTGCGCTGCAGTTTTGGCTGCCGCGTGTGGGACCCTTCTCACATTTATTCCGCACCAGCCGCCTGTGAAGACGTAAAGACGGTGGAAGAGAAAGCGAGCATGGCTGCCGATGCGACCGACTGTGACATGGATACGACACCGGAGCGGGCGCGGCAGACCACAGCCCGCGATCATCGCCCGCAAGGCGAGGACCAGGGCGACTGCGCGGGCGTCCCGGCACCTCAGCCTGACGGGGGAGCTTCAGTCGCGTGTGCCAAGTCACCCGATGGGCGGGGAGCCGGGCAAGGACGAGGAGATGGGGAGGAGCACGCGAGCTCCGATGCCTCCGTGGTGAGTGGAGGCCAGGTGCCCTCTCCTGAGAGGCCGAGCAGCGAGCATCGCGACGCCGCGCCTGACGTTCCCTCCGCTGCGGTGTCGCAAGACGAGCCTGCGGATCCAGTCCTGTCTCCTGAATCACCGCTCCGTGAGAAAGAGCCAGCGCTTGCAGCACGGGGGCCGGAGCTAGCGTCGAGTTCGTCGGAGGGAGAAGCAGAGCACCCATCTGTGGACGAGGACGCATGTAAGGTACGGGGCGACGGACCCCAGTCCACGAGTGTACTCTGTGAAGCTTCTGATGCCGGCCAAGATACGCCCATGCCGCAATCCGGTGACGCGGACGAAGTCAGGAGTCATCGGGACGGCTCACAGGGACCGGACGAGCCATCCGAAAAGGCGTCTTACAAATCAGGCGACGCCAGTCAGGAGCGGAGCGCACTCAGCCCGTCGTCAGATCCCGGACCGCCCGAGCAAGGCTCTGACGTCGGCGCGGCCGGCGACGCCTCCGCTCTCGCTAGCGGTGCCGCGCCGCCTACGTCGGCCGAGCCCGCCGTGCGGTCGGGCGATGATGACTCCGGCGCCGCAACGTCGTCCAGCGAGGAGGACGACACTGATGGCTCGGCGTCAGACGTGGATGGCGACACGCGCACGTCGGCCTCTGAGAACGGTGACGGCGATGTGCGCGGGACCGAGGACGGCGACGCTGCTGCGATCACCGCGACAGCCGCCGACGGCTCCGACGGTTCCGGCACGCCCTCTCCGGACGGGTCTCGCGCGCCACCGGCCGGCAAGCCTCGCACGTCATGCGCTGACGCGTCTCGGACGTCATCTCCGGGCGGTGCGCGTGACCGCTCATCATCTAGTGAGGCGGACGTCGGTGACGGCTCGGAGACACACGACCAGAACGGCAACCACGCGCTGTCGCCGTCCGCCAGCGATGATGATGAAAACGGTGCGCAGGCGCCTCCCGCCGAGGAGAGCAGCAGCACGACCTCGTCATCGGACGACAGCGACGGTGGCGATGCGTCCGCGGGGTCTGACGCCGCCGCCGGCGCCGGCGCGCCATCTGAAGCGTCCGTCGCCACCACTAGCACCGAGGCGCGGTCGCCAACTCCAGATGGCGGTGACGAGGGTGGCGAGGGTGACGCCGCGAGTGGCGGCGTGGACGGATGCGAGCCGGACGCCGACACCGCGGAGGCCGGCGCCTCCAAGCGGCCGCGGGAGGGCGAAGTCGGCGCGCCTGAAGCGAAGCGGGCGCGCGGCGCGCGGCGCGGCCCGCTGGAGGCCCACCGCGGCTGGTGCCCGTGGGTGGCGGCCGTGGACGGCGGCGAGCCGGGCTGGCGCCGGGCGCTGGCCGCCGTGGAGGCGCCACGCGACGGAGCCCGTCTCGGCGGCGGCGAGTGGGCCGACGCCGACGCGCTCGAGACCATGACGAAGGTGTGGAGTACCCTGGACCTGTGGACGTCCCCGGTGGCCAAGCCCGTGTCCAGGGCGTGAGCGTCTCAACGTGCGACCGAGATGAAGTCTGTACAGACGTACTGTTGTAGTTCGCGCTGTGTGGATTAGAGGCCGCCGTTGGTCGCTGGAATGCTGGCGAAGTGAAAGCTGGTTGAACAAAGGACTGGTGCGCAGGGCGGCCGGTAGATGGGACACCGTCGTGTATTGCATAACGCACTCCCATTCGTTTGCGGAAAAGCTGGAACGACTCGGAACGGCCATATTGTTCATGCTACGGTATGCCCAGCTTGGGCTGCCCCGCCTGTACATCTGCACGTCCTTGAATACATTCGCGGATATTTAAGGAAGTTGCGCATTCCTCTTTCGTGATTTCCTTCACCGTTCAACGTAGCGTCTTCCAAAAAAATAGGAACCCACGGTTATCGTTCAATGTCAGATGACGAGGAAGCGTGGTTAAGGAAGCCTGTAGCTAAATAAAAAGGAATCACTGGGTGGAGGTGAGCAGTGCAAATAACATCATACCCCAAGAACACCAGCAAACGGGCTTCTGGGATTGGGCCCACTTTTTCTAGAAGATTGGGATTACCCCCTTCCTCGAGCTGATCAGCAAATTATACCCCTGTTCGCAGAACAACCAAGCATGTGTCAGTTCCTCGACAGGAATCCTAGGATGGGATCCCTGAGTCCTGGATCTTAGATCTACGACGTCCACGTCTGTTAAGATGCGATTTACTTGGCGACGACTCGATTTCGATGAAAACCATCCGGTGATATATGACAGCGAGGTAACACCGAATCCGACGCGTTTTTTTTTTCTTCAACTTCACGTGATCTTTAAGGTCAAATGGCGAGGAGCCTCAAATCATCCAAAACGTGCTCGTCGTTTTCTGATTTCCAAGCACCAGAATCATCGGCAGCAAACACAATAACATCCGTTTGGAGGTCCTGACTTCTCAATGCACCCTTCAAGGTCAGATCAAGATCGAATGACTGGAAACTGCGCGTCACTCAAATGCTGCCGGCCGGCTTCCGATTTGTATCAGGATATCTCGTTGCATGAACTTGCATCCGTCATCTAGAAGTCCTCGCCTGTTAAACGGCGTGTCCCACCTCCGGGTGCATTTCAAGAACATACCCGTGTGAAACATCAGGACTGGTCACGTCTAATAACAGCACTGGGTAGTGCCACTGCAGCGCCGTCGAGCTTGATAAGGATATCAATGTTAATTATTTTTTCTAGTCACAATTACGCTGTCAACTATTTACAACAGCACTACACTTTTCTGTGCAGTCGCGACCACCAACATCATTGCAACGACCGCTCGCACATCTATCGGTGCAATTAAAAGACGTTTGTGATTGGCCCAGCGGGCAAGGGCCTGTTACCGAGAAGTTGGATGGTCGAATTTGAGCAAGGGCGTCACGTGGATCATGTGATATCCACATGCCCAAAGCAAAAGTGCGCATCGAAAGGGCTACCGATCTAAACGCCTCAGGGGAGAGGCAAAATCCATAGGATAACGTTTCGTTGAATTCGCGGGATAATAGCGTCATGTTCGCAGATCTTTTGTCTGAACAGACTGCTTCTAGCTTTCGTAGCGTTATTGCCTACTCAAACACGGTGACACAACAGTGTGTTGCAAACATAACAGAACACACGTTGAAAAAACTGGCAAATGAAATGCATTACTTTTACAGTGGTGAGCAGGGAATCAACTGAGATTTTCCCCACAGGGTTGGCTACATTAAATCAACATTCTGGACAATTCAGAAGGATTTCAAGAAAACTGATATTGGTGATCAATTCGTACGGGTTTGAGGTAACATTAAGTGAGAGGAACAAAAAGTGGGGGATTCAAAAACAAAAAATGCACAATGCACAAAAACACCACCTTTAACGTCAAAATCAAGGCAAATGACGGGGACTTCGTATCACTCAAAATTTACCAGCCATTTTGGATTTATCAATAATGGAATATTCTTTAATGCATAGACTTCCCAATTGGCCGGTAACTTTCGGTCGATGTCGAGTTTCCCGTCATTTTACATTTGAAGAGTGACGTTGAGAGATCAGGACTTCTTGACGGACGCCAGTTTATTCGCTGAACACAACAATAAAGCTTGCAAATTCCAGATCCGATGATCGATGGACACTGTCAGTTTTGGTTGATATGAAGCACATGTGTGCTTAGAACCCCCAAAAGAATCACAGGATCCACCCTTAGGATCCAGGTGCATATTTGAATTAAGAAGTTCCCCGTCAATTGATCTTGGAGTATGTCCAAATGATCATTATGAATGAGAAATATGACCATCGTATCTAGAGCATGTCCAAATGCACTAGCAGTTACGTTAATGAAGGTTTCATATTTCGATGCATTTCTCATGATGTATATGACATTAGTTGAAGATATTCTATTCATGGAGGGCTGGGCTGAGAATTTTACCAAGTGTATGCGTGGTTCTTGCCTTGCGATGAATTCCTAGAAATCGTTCAGCTCACTGCTGGATGGTTAATGCAGAAAGCAATGCAGCAACATACAACATATTAAAACAGCATAGCCTTAGCAAGGTTACCCGTATAAATTGGATGGTCCGTTTAAAAAAGGATTGAGAACGTATGTCATGCCTTTAGTGCCGCAGGGAATTTTCATACGCTTCCGTGAGCTTCCTAACTCAATACCACCCACCTTGCCTCTTAGTGTGCTGCCTATGCCGTACACCAAGCGTCTGATTACTGAAGCTCCGCCGCGAAGTGCACATGTGAGCCCGACCAACACGCTAGAGAGACGGCAAATCCTGTGCGCTTCCCCTGGGTCGGTCATATCAAATATGAAATTAGCCCGGCAACCTGGCCGGTCGCGCCCCATCCCGCAGAATGGGGAAGTTCGTGCAACCCGCCCTGCTGACTCGATATCCAAACATCACGGTAGATTACGTGGATGCAGTGGACACAGAACAACGTGGCGGTAGCCCGTTCGTGACCTGGAACCCTCGTTGACATTGCTGGGCAGCATTTTTTATGGCTGACCTCAGTCGTGTAGGCACGCTTTGTGCACCCTTGCCGCCTTCCTTTAGCTTTAGATGCATCTGCAGAGCAGAGCGGCCATGCCTTTATCTAAGTGTCCAGCGCGAGGTGAAATCCCATGAAGGTATTTTATGATTTTCCATGGCTTTGACCCGGGTAGTAAGACACAGTTGGTCGCCGTGAAAGGCCTGCTTACGCTATTTTTGATTGTTCCAAAAGCATGGCCTGACATAGCTTCGTCCTTAAGTAAGTCTGGCACTGCTTGTTGTGTTTTTTCCTTTTTAACTGGTCAATGATGTATCAGAAACGTGTACGCTTAAAAACCGACTTTCAGTGGACCAAGAGGTCGCGGTTAAACGGAAATACCAAGCAAGCTTTGTGATCGTACGGGAATGCTGGACGTCTCAAAGCCGTATTAAGTATTCCCAAGACATTGTCGTAAAGACGTCAATCTCGCAAGGTTATTTGACTTAGCCTGTGACGTAACCTCGACTCGGCTTTACTTAGCACCGCTGTGACCTCGTTGGCCGTTGGGTTACTCTAGCTATGTCTGGGGATGTTTGCCGGCCTTGGAATATAATGATTCATAATCTTGTTCAAATTTGTGTCTTTCTTCCAAAAGTTAATCGTCCGTGGATTTAAAAGAACAGTGGTCAAGTACTTATATCAACCAATGTGCTGAAACTAGCAAGAGGCAACCGTCACTCATAACCATGCAAAGATGACCTAGCAAGTACTTTTGCCTGAACCTACACCTAGCAAAGATGGCACCCACTCGGCGCAGTGATGATTGTTCGTCTGCGCTCGAAGGACCAGTTGTGGACTGTTGTGGCCGAAAAAAACGGAAGACATCATACAAAAGAAAACGCTTAGGGAACGGCATTTGCCAATGCTTCAGAGGCTTGGAATGGACGCTGGTGACCAAGTACGTGCTATCAGAAGTGGGGATGATTGAGTGGATCGCCAGCTTCTGTTTTAACTCGCCGCCTGCATTCGCAATAGATCGATCCACTTACCGCCCAGTTTATCAAGTGCGCGAAAGGCTGATTGTTCCATACAGTCATTATTCGTCATTACCGTGCTTCAAGGCAGTTCGCCCAAAACAAACAGTCTTGACACATTAGGAGCTACCATCACTAATCGTATTAATGCGTGTACCTATTGTCATTCCCCCTCCCCCCCCCCACCCCACAGCACCGGTACTGGGCTCCAAACCTACCTTCCTGCAGGCGCGGCCGCTCGTGCACCCGGACACCGTCTCCCGCGGCTCTTGTGTAACACAGTTTACTTAAGGATGTGCTTTATTAGCGCCAGACGCATCAAGATCTGGGTGCAGTTAACACGATTAGTATAGAGCCTGCGGCAACATTCTCGACTGCTGTTGATTTGGAAGCATCCTTCGTAATTGTATTTCTTTGGCAAAGGAACTCTGGAATAATTGCTACGGTGTGCCGATAGTGTAGTAATTAAGCTGCGCGTCTGGGAAACCAGAGGTTCGCGGTTCGATTCCTCGCGGTGCCCGCCCTTCCTGCCAGGGTGAGAGGCAGGCGACGGCATATAGCCTCAGCAGCTGAGTGCGTCGTAAAACCCCCATGACGACGAAGCATTGCTATGGCAGCTGTTTGTGACCAGCTGGACACATATCCCCATCGCGATGGTATCCTCAGCCCTGCCCAACACGCTCACCGGCAAGGCCACTGCACGGAAGACGATCTGCCCGCCGCTGACAAGGAGCCGGCGAGGAACATTGACAGCGAAGACAGGTGCTTGGCAAACGCTTGTCGATATATGCAAGGCGTGCGACAGTGTTTTTCATGATTAGCTTGTGGCAAAGCTCCAATGTTACGGCGTGGTCTATAATTGGTTCAAAGCTTGTCTGACTGACCGGAAGTGAGTGGTGCGGTGGGACTGACGGCCCTGCCGGTAAATGATGGAGTGTCCCAGGGGTGCATAGCCCAACCATCCTTGTTTACCCTGCCTTGCAAACGACCTCTCCAGTCGTATGTACGCA